ACCCAAAAAATGTCCCACCCACTACACCAATGTCCCACCCACTTACACCACTGTCCCACCACTTTACACCACTGTCCCACCCACTTACACCAATGTCCCACCCACTTACACCAATGTCCCACCCACTTACACCAATGTCCCACCCACTTACACCAATGTCCCACCCACTTACACCAATGTCCCACCCACTTACACCAATGTCCCACCCACTTACACACCAATTGTCCCACCCACTTACACATGTCCCACCCACTTACACCAATGTCCCACCCACTTACACCAATGTCCCACCCACTTACACCAATGTCCCACCCACTTACACCAATGTCCCACCCACTTACACCAATGTCCCACCCACTTACACCAATGTCCCAACCCACTTACACCAATGTCCCACCACTTACACCAATGTCCCACCCACTTACACCAATGTCCCACCCACTTACACCAATGTCCCACCCACTTACACCAATGTCCCACCCACTTACACCACTGTCCCACCCACTTACACCAATGTCCCACCCACTTACACCAATGTCCCACCCACTTACACCACTGTCCCACCCACTTACACCAATGTCCCACCCACTTACACCAATGTCCCAACCCACTTACACCAATGTCCCACCCACTTACACCAATGTCCCACCCACTTACACCAATGTCCCACCCACTTACACCACTGTCCGCACCCACTTACACCAATGTCCCACCCACTTACACCAATGTCCCACCCACTTTACACCACTGTCCCACCCACTTACACCAATGTCCCACCCACTTACACCAATGTCCCACCCACTTACCACCCAACTGTCCCCACCACTTAACCACCAATGTCCCACCCACTTACACCAATGTCCCACCCACTTACACCAATGTCCCACCCACTCCCCCCCCACTTAACACCAATGTCCCACCCACTTACACCAATGTCCCACCCACTTACACCACTGTCCCACCCACTTACACCAATGTCCCACCCACTTACACCAATGTACCCCACCCCACTTACACCAATGTCCCACCCACTTACACCAATGTCCCACCCACTTACACCAATGTCCCACCCACTTACACCAATGTCCCACCCACTTACACCAATGTCCCCACCCACTTACACCACAATGTCCCACCCACTTACACCAATGTCCCACCCACTTACACCAATGTCCCACCACTTACACCAATGTCCCACCCACTTACACCAATGTCCCACCACTTACACCAATGTCCCACCCACTTACACCAATGTCCCACCCACTTACACCAATGTCCCACCCACTTACACCAATGTCCCCACCCAACTTACACCAATGTCCCACCCACTTACACCAATGTCCCACCCACTTACACCAATGTCCCACCCACTTACACCAATGTCCCACCCCACACTTACACCCAATGTCCCACCCACTTACACCAATGTCCCACCCACTTACACCAATGTCCCACCCACTTACACCAATGTCCCACCCACTTACACCAATGTCCCACCCACTTACACCAATGTCCCACCCACTTACACCAATGTCCCACCCACTTACACCAATGTCCCACCCACTTACACCAATGTCCCACCCACTTACACCAATGTCCCACCCACTTACACCAATGTCCCCCCCCACTTACACCAATGTCCCACCCACTTACACCAATGTCCCACCCACTTACACCAATGTCCCACCCACTTACACCAATGTCCCACCCACTTACACCAATGTCCCACCCACTTACACCAATGTCCCACCCACTTACACCAATGTCCCACCCACTTACACCAATGTCCCACCCACTTACACCACTGTCCCACCCACTTACACCACTGTCCCACCCACTTACACCAATGTCCCACCCACTTACCACCACATGTCCCACCCACTTACACCAATGTCCCACCCACTTACACCAATGTCCCACCCACTTACACCAATGTCCCACCCACTTACACCAATGTCCCACCCACTTACACCAATGTCCCACCCACTTACACCAATGTCCCACCCACTTACACCATTACCAACATGTCCCACATCCCCACTTACACCAATGTCCCACCCACTTACACCAATGTCCCACCCACTTACACCAATGTCCCACCCACTTACACCCAATGTCCCACCCACTTACACCAATGTCCCACCCACTTACACCAATGTCCCACCCACTTACACCAATGTCCCACCCACTTACACCAATGTCCCACCCACTTACACCAATGTCCCACCCACTTACACCAATGTCCCACCCACTTACACCACTGTCCCACCCACTTACACCAATGTCCCACCCACTTCCTCCACCCACTTACACCAATGTCCCACCCACTTACACCAATGTCCCACCCACTTACACCAATGTCCCACCCACTTACACCAATGTCCCACCCACTTACACCAATGTCCCACCCACTTACACCAATGTCCCACCCACTTACACCAATGTCCCACCCACTTACACCAATGTCCCACCCACTTACACCAATGTCCCACCCACTTACACCAATGTCCCACCCACCCTGTCCCACCCACTTACACCATGTCCCCCCCCCCCACCCACTTACACCAATGTCCCACCCACTTACACCAATGTCCCACCCACTTACACCAATGTCCCACCCACTTACACCAATGTCCCACCCACTTACACCAATGTCCCACCCACTTACACCAATGTCCCACCCACTTACACCAATGTCCCACCACTTACACCAATGTCCCACCCACTTACACCAATGTCCCACCCACTTACACCAATGTCCCACCCACTTACACCAATGTCCCACCCACTTACACCAATGTCCCACCCACTTACACCAATGTCCCACCCACTTACACCAATGTCCCACCCCACTTACACCAATGTCCCACCCCACCCTGTCCCACCCACTTACACCAATGTCCCACCCACTTACACCAATGTCCCACCCACTTACACCAATGTCCCACCCACTTACACCCAATGTCCCACCCACTTACACCAATGTCCCACCCACTTACACCAATGTCCCACCCACTTACACCAATGTCCCACCCACTTACACCAATGTCCCACCCACTTACACCAATGTCCCACCCACTTACACCAATGTCCCACCCACTTACACCAATGTCCCACCCACTTACACCAATGTCCCACCCACTTACACCAATGTCCCACCCACTTACACCAATGTCCCACCCACTTACACCAATGTCCCACCCACTTACACCAATGTCCCACCCACACTTACACCAATGTCCCACCCACTTACACCACTGTCCCACCCACTTACACCAATGTCCCACCCACTTACACCAATGTCCCACCCACTTACACCAATGTCCCACCCACTTACACCAATGTCCCACCCACTTACACCAATGTCCCACCCACTTACACCAATGTCCCACCCACTTACACCAATGTCCCACCCACTTACACCAATGTCCCACCCACTTACACCAATGTCCCACCCACTTACACCATGTCCCCCCCACCCCCCCCCCCCCCCCCCACTTACACCAATGTCCCACCCACTTACACCAATGTCCCACCCACTTACACCAATGTCCCACCCACTTACACCAATGTCCCACCCACTTACACCAATGTCCCACCCACTTACACCAATGTCCCACCCACTTACACCAATGTCCCACCCCCCCCCCCCACTTACACCAATGTCCCACCCACTTACACCAATGTCCCACCCACTTACACCAATGTCCCACCCACTACACCAATGTCCCACCCACTTACACCAATGTCCCACCCACTCACCAATGTCCACCCACTTACACCAATGTCCCACCCACTTACACCAATGTCCCACCCACTTACACCAATGTCCCACCCACTTACACCAATGTCCCACCCACTTACACCAATGTCCCACCCACTTACACCAATGTCCCACCCACTTACACCAATGTCCCACCCACTTACACCAATGTCCCACCCACTTACACCAATGTCCCACCCACTTACACCAATGTCCCACCCACTTACACCAATGTCCCACCCACTTACACCAATGTCCCACCCACTTACACCAATGTCCCACCCACTTACACCAATGTCCCACCCACTTACACCAATGTCCCACCCACTTACACCAATGTCCCACCCACTTACACCAATGTCCCACCCACTTACACCAATGTCCCACCCACTTACACCAATGTCCCACCCACTTACACCAATGTCCCACCCACTTACACCAATGTCCCACCCACTTACACCACTGTCCCACCCACTTACACCAATGTCCCACCCACTTACACCAATGTCCCACCCACTTACACCAATGTCCCACCCACTTACACCAATGTCCCACCCACTTACACCAATGTCCCACCCACTTACACCAATGTCCCACCCACTTACACCAATGTCCCACCCACTTACACCACTGTCCCACCCACTTACACCAATGTCCCACCCACTTACACCAATGTCCCACCCACTTACACCAATGTCCCACCCACTTACACCAATGTCCCACCCACTTACACCAATGTCCCACCCACTTACACCAATGTCCCACCCACTTACACCAATGTCCCACTTATACCCCATGAGATGCCTTGCCAACACGGAATACGATTTTTGAGGCGCCTCAAAAACCCACTTATACCCCATGAGATGCCTTGGCAACACGGAATACGCCATCTCTTCACACCCCGCACTCACAGAAGTTGTTCTGCATGAGCTTCGTGAACAACCCAGGGTCCGTAGCGCCCCTGGCTGATTTCTGACGCGCCACCCACGCCAGATTTAACACTGTGTTACCCAAACCATGCTACCCTATTACCCCTCCCCCGCTAACCCATGCATGCTGCACTTACAGAAGTTGTTCTGCATGAGCTCTCAGCCGCACGATGGGAACAGCCCAGCCCAGGGTCCATGGCGTCCCTGGCCGATACCTGTGCCCCACACGAAGGGGATAATGCTGGGTTTCCTCGGTCTTGATGCTAAATTCCTGGGTTCGTAAATTCCAACACCCATGCGCCACTTACAGAAGTTATTCTGCATGAGCTTCGTGAACAGCCCAGGGTCCATGGCGTCCCTTGCAGACACCTGGTGCGCCACCCACGCCAGCGTGAAGGGCGGCTGGGTCATTAGGGGCAGCGCTGCTCGTGCCAGCACTGCCACTGGGATGACGGGGAAGTTGAGCGCCCTTGCTGGGCCGGACTGCAAGGGGGAGAGGAGAAAGCGGGGGAGAGGAGAAAGAGGGGGAGAGGAGAAAGAGGGGGAGAGGAGAAAGAGGGGGAGAGGAGAAAGAGGGGGAGAGGAGAAAGAGGGGGAGAGGAGAAAGAGGGGGAGAGGAGAAAGCGGGGGATGAGTTTGACAGAGAGTGAAAGGCGTCTGGGTCATGACTCATGAGGGACAGCTCCGCTCTCGCCAGCACTGCGACAGGGATGACTGGGAAATTCAGGGCCTTAGCAGGACCGGACTGGAAGGTGGGATAGGAAGGGGGGAAAGCGGGGGGAGGGAGAGGAGAGAACGGGCGTGAGCATGGCAGCCATTCTGGTGTCCAGGAGCCTCTGGTCATGAGGGGCCGATCAACAGTTGCCAGCACCATTACCAGGATCACGGAGACCGTTTAGGCTCGGGAAGGAGGACCGGCCTGGACCAGCCTGGACCAATCAGGATCAGGGAAGGCTGAGGCGCCTACAAAGGAGGGAGAGCAAGGGGGGAGAAGGGCATGAGAGCCACAAGCACGCCAGGATTCACAGGCCGTTTTGGTACACGGAGCACTATGATGAGGTGAGGTTGTTCCTGGAGTTGAGGGTCGTTCGAGCACTACGAGGGAGTTTCAAGCTTGTTTGGTGGTTTGTGACGTGGTCATGGAGTAAAGGCATCCAGGTGAGGGTGGCGAAGGGGATGTAGATGGTGAGTGTGGTGAGGGGGGTGGCCATCGTACCCCACTTTTTCCACAGCCCCTTTTTGTCTCTAACTCAGCACTTACCAGAGGTCTAAGCTGCTTGAGAGACTAGAGTTGGCCATCCAGTATTCCAGCGACAATGCCACCCCATCACCAGTCCCAACAGATGGCTTCTGAAACTCGACACTAAATAAGATGCCCACTCACCAGTGGTCTGAGCATCGCCCGCAAGGGAGGTGGTGCAAGACACTGATACATCGCCGCACTCACCAGCGGTCTGAGTAGCTTGAGACTGGAGTTGGCCATCCAGTATTCCAGCGACGACGCCACCGTCACCACTCCTAACAAGCCTGCATCCGGCCCTGCACTCACACATACAGGCAAAAAGGAAACATCCAGCATGTGGACATTTGAAAAGAAATTTCCAGCCAGAGCACACGCAGAGAGGCAGGAATGCCCTCAGCCACTCCTTATCATCTCCCATGCTTACCCAAAGCGGCCATTCTTGAGTAAAGAAGGATCCCCCCCATGGAGTGACCGACGGCCAGGATCTTCCCATCGTGCGGCTGGGTGCGCTCCCGCACGTACCGCATGGCAGCGGGCACATCCTCGTACAAGTAAGTGTCGAAGTCCCAGTTATACTCCTTAGCCAGGCTCGCCACGTCCTGTGTCTGCAGAATCACTCTGATCAGCTGCTCGTACAGCTCAGCCACCCCTGGCGTTGCCACGCCCTGCCTCGACTCCACTATTTCCCCCAGCCGTTTCTGCAGATCGGCTAGCCGTTTGTCTAGGTTGGAAGAGGCGAGGCTGCTGCTGAGCAGCCGCGTGGTTTGCTGAAGGAAGGCGGTAGCGGCGGCGGGGAGAGACGTGTCTGTCTTAGTATCCAGTGGGCCTACTGTACCAGCCAGCTCCTCCAGTGCTTCTACCGCCTCAGGCGAAATCTCAGGTGATTGTGCAATAGAGAAGAAGGAATCTAGGGCCTGCCTTAGCCGTGGCAAGCCAGATGACGTCAGCTCTACGTCACTGCAGGTCTGCAGCTCAACCAGCAGATGCTGGAAGTCTAGCAGCGCCACCGGCTGCTGCGACCTTGATTGGTCGAGAGCTGCTCTCAATCGGCTCTCAGTGGCTTTAAGCTTGGGCCTGAGTGTTTGGGGGTCCGTTGGTAGTCCTGTGATGGAGAATTGATCGAAGTAGTTCCTCAACAGCTGCATGGTTCGGGATAAGCTGCTGGTGACGCTGAAACCTTCTGAAGCATCCTCGTTAGTAGCTGCTGGCCCATCTGTGGTTGCTGCTGTTACTGTTGTTGCTGCTGCTGCTGCTGTTGCACTTGTTGTTGCTGCTGCTGCTGTTGCATCTTCATCATCACTTGAAAACAACGGGGTGAATACAGAGCCGTTTGTCACACCAGCTTCTCTGCTGCTGCTGCTGCTAACAGCCGAGCCGTTACCACTTGTGGTCCCATTTGAAGCCCCGTTAAGCGAGCTTCCACTTGCGTATTTGCTTGAAGACTCTACAGTTGGGCCTTCAGTATCAATGGCAGTGTTGACTCTGCCATATGCGAATCCATTAAGGAATGTAATCGGGGGCCCTTCGATAGGACCAATAGCCGAGCTCGTAGCGGTTGAGAAACCCTGTTTCCCTGCTATAGAGAACGGAGACTGGCTTAAGCCTGCTCCACGGAGCTCGAGCACCCAGGTATCGAACCCTTGACCTGCCAAATGGCGAGCCAACGACACCTGCAGGATAACAAGATTCAGTTGGTTTGTCAGTCAGTGTTGCTCCCTTGGATATTTCCTCGGATAAAACCGGCGTCAGATTCAGATAGAAAATATGAGATATTCGGAGGAAAAACTTGAGAAAAAAGAAACGGTTGAAAATCATGGAGATGAGTTACCTCTTCTGATATATCATATCCAAGAGCATTGGTTGCAATTCCAGAGAGCAGGAGGACTGGATGCGCTTTCCGCGGGACCTAGTTCCCACACATCAGTGAGAGAAACAAGAATCACACGGTGAATTGGCCACCATGATGCGAACCTAAACCCCGCGCTTAAAGATCAGACACGGACGCGACGGAAGCGGACGTTCACACGGAGAAAATGGGGAGGCAGAAGGGAGGCGAGGGAAGGGGAGAAATGTAAGGAAAGGGACGATGAAGGATGGAAGGAAGGGTAGGTGGGGAAGAAAGGGAGGTGACGGATACTCACCGAATCAGAGGGGAGGTACCGCCAGAGAGCGAGCCGCCATCCGTCGGACGTCTCTACATAGTGCAGCTCGTCCCCGGTAAAAACCTCCAGCTCTTGCGGAACGCCGACTCGGGCCTCTAATCGCTTCTCGAACCGCGTCGCCTTCCGGAGCTCCTCCTTTAAAGCCGACTCTTCCTCGACGAATGTTGAATTATGACTGATCGTAGGCTTCTCCTGGGCATCGCAGCGAACATTTACTCCGCGAAACGTTCGCGTGCGAGGAAACCTGACTCTGGCGGCGCGGCTCACTGAAAGCCGAGTGCAGCCAGTACTAGGTGCGGTGTTACGGAGCTTGCTGGTGCAATCAGCGGCTTGAGGCCGCGAAACGAGAGATATGGTTGGCATGTTGCTCTAATATCAGAGGTAATTAGGAGAAGAAAAGCTACTCTGGAATCAGAGGCACGTCTGGAAACAATCCTATGCAAAGCTACTGGACACGGAAAGAAAGCTCCCGACCAGACGTTGGAACAACCCGATCGCAGGATTAGGGGACTAATCTGCTTCACCTTGGTCGCAGTTGGAAGTCAAGGGGTTCTAGGCAGACGAGGGAAAGAGCAGAAGTGTAGATTCTCTTGAGATCCTTCAGCAGTGGAAAGCTAGCGGTAACGCACCGATCAGAGTCGCATTTCTGACTGATCCTCTTCTAGCTAGGCGTTTGGTTTACTGATCCTGCTCATTCAGTTGTCTTAGAGGGACGATGGCTGACTAAACTGACGGCGACTCGAGCCGATTCGATAACCGAGACTCGAAAACGCTGAAACCGCTAACGGTGCTTAGCTTCAAAAGCTGTACGCCACCGTGGCGTGTCTCGACGCTGCCGTCAGCTCAACCAGGCGACATTCACGTGCTGTCGATACAGCAGTCAGCCTGACGCCATGGCGTCAGTTGTAACTTGTCAGCCATGGCAAGGCATGGCCAGGGAAGGAGGTTGCGTGCTGGTGTTGTGTGTTGTGCCCTCACCTCCATTGGATGAAAGAGGATGGGATGGGATGAGATGGGATGGGATGGGATGGGTTGAGAGGGTTGGGATGGGATGGGATGAGATCAGATGCGAGGGGATGGGGGAGGGGATGTTCAATCAGCAGGCAGACGGAACAGCTAACTGGCAACAGCACCGTCTGTTGCATTGATGGCGGCGCGCCTGATAAAGTTTCGGCTCGGGGCGGGGTGCCTCGAGAAGCACCTCAAGTTGGCTTGCCCTGGTTGGTTGGTTCACCTCGGGACGAGTCACAACCTCGGAATTATCGAAGACCGGCGAACAGACGGACGTCCTTTGATCCGCTCACAGAGGAGCTGGGTTGCGTAGGCTGACGAGGAAATGAGCGTCGTCCAATGAAAGAGGGCGCAAGATGACGGTTCGGCTGATGGTGGTCCACGGATCGTGACGTGGCGAGGCGGTGGTGAAAAGAGTGGTAAATTGGAAGTTGACAGTTGGCAGATATCGTAAGGTGGAGGCTCCCTCCCTACAACCACGAATAAGCTCACAGTGAATCCGGCCGACCCAGTGGCACTGTTTTCAAGGGTATGGGAGTTTCACATACATGCAACTCACATCACACGATAATGGAATGCAGAGGGTATTGAATAGCATAGTGAATAAACAAGATAGGGAACTTAGAGGAAGCTGTGGGGATGACAACGGACCGTCACAACCAATACTGAATCCTTTCATCTCATTGTTTTGAGCTGTGTTGCTGTAGCTAGGTCGACAATATATGTCATCTTGTGATATCATCTACAAGGGCAGCAACTAGGTCCTTGATTACACCTGTGACTGCGCATCCCATTGCTACGGCTGTGATTGTAGAAGCTGTAGCTCTTTTTAACGCAACTCATCTTGGCCTTCGCGCATTTGTTTACCTCCAGCCTTTCTGTCCCCCATGACTACCCTGTGGCCAGCTTCGATTCCTAAAACTGCATCTGAGCTACTACTAACTCCACTGCTACTCACATATGAAGAGCTATCCACCACACCACCAGCACCACTAGAGGCAGTGCTATTGCTGCTGCAGCTGCTACGGCTAGCGCCACTACCACAATGAGACTGCCCAGCTGGCTCCAAGGATGTAGAGTCATTGAAATCTGTGCTCGCTCGCCGGAACAACCTCTCCTTCTGCCCTCTGGCAGATCCAAGCTATGGCGGGGGTCTGTGTGCTTCTGATGGCAGCAGTCGCTGTGGGTCTGGTGCCATGCTCCCCTGTGCTTCTGGTGCCACACTCCCATGTGCTTCTGGTGCCACACTCCCCTGGGCGTGTGATGCCGCACCCCCCTGTGCACCTGGTGATGCCGTAGCCCTGCAACCACCGTAATGAGTCTGCCCAGCTGGCTCCCAGGCAGTGCGGTCACCGAAATCAGTGCTCGCTCGCCGGAACACCCGCTGCCCTCTGGCAGATCCAGGCGACGGCGGGGGTCTCTGTGCTTCTGGTGGCAGCAGTTGCTGTGCGTCTGATGCCACACTCCCCTGCGCTTCTGGTGCCACACTCCCCTGTGCACCTGATGGTGCCACAACCCTGCAACTACCGTAGCCAGATTGCCCAGCTGGTTCCCAGGAGGAGCGGTCACTGAAGTCAGTGCTCGCTCGGCGGAACGCCCTTTCTTTCTGCGCTCTGGCAGATCCAGGCGACGGCGGGGGTCTGTGTGCTTCTGCTCGCGATAATCTCGGTGCTTCTGCTGCCGCGCCCCTGTGCGCGTCTGACCCTGCACCCCTACTCTGTGCGTCAGATCCCCCAGCCTCTTGTGCCACTGCCCCAGCAACACGTGGCAGAGCATGATGGGGGCAGTGCGGGGGATGGGCATGGCTGGAGGCCCGGCTCCCATCACCCTTGCTTGCATGGCTGGGAACACCTGTGAGGGTCTCGCTGCGAGAGTGCTGCTGCTGCTGCTGCTGCTGCTGCTGCAATCTAGCTGGGTGTTGAGACGAGTCAAAACTGGTTCCCTGATGTTGCTGCGCTCTACTGGTAGTAGTACTCTGCGACAATGACTCAGGGCCCACGTCGTCCCGCTGCTGCTGCTGCTGCTGCTGCTGCTGCTGCTGCTGCCGCACGTGGTTGTCATGAGCCCAGTCCATGCTGCGCCTTGCCATCCTAGCAGGGCACTTGGAGGAGGGGAGTATATGCGCCGAGTGTGGCCCCAAGCTAGAACTGCTGCTGCTGCTGCTGCTGCGGTGGCGGCTGCCTTCAGCACTAGAGCTCTGCTGCGGCAACCTGCTCTCTTGCTCCCTCACCCGCAGAAGCTTGCTGTCGCAGCGATGCGCTTGCTGCACCTGGGGACTGTGGAAAACCTGACTGCTTGGAACATGGTTGTCATTGTGAAGGCGGTCACTGTTTGCAGGGTGGTTCTGGGGAGGGTATTTGTGCGCAAGGCTGGAGGAGCGAGGGGCGGTGGGCGAGCAGGGAATGATCAGGTCCCGGGCCGACCCAATGGACAGGCTCTGCTTCCGAGGGCCCACCATGCGGTTACCACCCGTAACCATGCTCCCCCCTGTCCCAGTAATTTCCCCTGCCCGCACTTCCCCACATGGTTCCACTTGCCTGGTGCCCTCACGCACTGCCCCCATCCCCAGGTGCCCGCTTACCACCTGCACTGACACTCCCTCTCCCATTGCGCATTCCTCTGCCTCCCTGGGCAGAACACCTCCCCCCTCTGACGCGTTGTGCATTTCCTTTCCTCCTTCTGCCCCCCATGCTTCCTGCCTCCCCCCTGCTCCTCCTGCTCCCACTCTTCCCTGTGCTCCCGCTGCTCCCAGTGCGCCTGACAAGCACCTGGACGGCGTACGCCCAGGCGAGGGCAGAGCCTGGTCGAATGCGCCCTCGCCTGTGCTCTCCCTGCCCGCGCGCCCCTCCCTGTCGGATATGGACCGCGTCAGGGCCCTCCCTCGCCCCGCCCCTCTGCCATCAGCACAGGGAGCAGCAGAACTGCTTCTACCAGTAGGAGCAAGAGACGCAGGGGCAGCAGCAGCATTAGGAGCAGAATCAGCAGCAATTGAGTGAGCAGCGGTGTGAGTGGCGAAGCTAGCACTAGCTGCTCGGTTGTGGCCTGGTCTGGCCTCTAGCCACTCTGAAGCGGCCTTCACCAGCATTCTTCCCTGCTGGGGTCCTGCCCTTCTCCCTGCTGCTGGTAACCGGGGGCTCTGTAATGGTATTGCACCATGGGACCCTGTTGCTGGTAACTGGTGGCTATGTAACGGTATTGCCCCTTGTAACGACGTTGCTAACCGGGGGCCCTGTAACGGTATGCCCCCGTGAGGCCCTGGTGCTCGTAACCTGGGGCTTTCTAAGTGCATCGCCGCGTGTGACCCTGTTGCTGGTAACCGCGGGCTCTGTAACGATAACGGCGTGCCACCCTGTGGCCTTGCTGCATGCACCCTGGGGCTTTGTAACGGTACAGACGCCCCCTGAGACCCTGCTGCTTGTAAGAGGGGGCTCTGTAGTGGCATGCCAGGTTGCGACCCTGTCACTTGTAACCGCGGGCTCGGTAACGGTTTGGCACCATGAGACTCCGCTCGCCTGTGGGACCCCACCAGAGCCGGGGGTGCTGTGCCGGCAGCTGCTATGGATGCCAATGAAGAAGCAGCTGACGCAGAAGAAGCAGAAGCAGGACGCCTGACGTCACTCCTGGTGGTAGTAGCAGTAGCAACAGTAGCAGCAGTGGCGGGCATAGGGGAGGCAAGAGAGGCTGAACGGATGTGCGTGTAAGGCCGTTGCCTAGCAACACTAGTGGCAGGATTGGCAGCAGCAGCAGCAGCAGCAGCAGCAGGCTGGCCATTCACTGCACTGCGAGACAGAATGTTCCCCTTCAGTACAAACGCGCTGCCTCCTCTCCCTCCTCCTCTCCTTCCTCTCCCACCACCACCACCACCACCACACACTCCCACTCCTCCTCCCACTCCTGCACCTCTCCCTCCTCGCCCACTACTTGTCCTTCCTACGCCCGGCCCTCCTGCTTCTTCACCAACCCCTCGTTCCCCCCCTCTCCCCAATCCTGTAGCCATTCCTCTCCCCACTCCCCCCCCCCCCCTACCCTCCCACCACCAGCAACAGCAGCCATGGATCTTGCTCCTGCTGCTGCCCTTCTCCACCTCTCACCAATCCGTGAGTCCCCAACCTGTGCGCCACCAATCTGCGCGCCACCAATCAGAGGCATATCCGCTCGTGCACTACCATTGTGTGACACAGTGGGGGGTTGGTTAGAGGCGGACGGGTGAGGGCCGGACGGATGAGGGGCGGATGGGTGAGGGGCGGACGGGTGAGGGGCGGACGGGTGAGGGGCGGACGGGTGAGGGGCGGACGGGTGAGGGGCGGACGGGTGAGGGGCGGACGGGTGAGGGGCGGACGGGTGAGGGGTGGGCGGGTGAGCGGCAGCAGAGTGGGCTGCCTTGGGGGCAGAGCGGCCACCTGTGGAGTTGCGTCTCGTGAGGGGTGGAGGGTTCCTGGATGAGGAAGCGTCGGATGGTGCTGCTGCTGCTTTTTCTCCTGCTGCTGCTGCAGCTGCTCCTCCTCCTGCTCCTCCTCCTGCTGCTGCTGCTGCCCCTCCTACCGCTCCCGTGTGTGATGGTATGCCTGCAGCGGTACGTGTACGGGAGGGTGCGGAGCCAGGCCTAGGGGCAGAGGCCGTGGCTGTGGGTGGGAGTGTGGAGAGATAAGAGGGAGTGCAGGGGGGTGCGGGTGCGAGTACAGGAGTGGGAGTGAGTGTCGGTTCTGGTGCAGGTTTGAGGGGGGGAGTGAGTGTGGGTGCTGGTGTAGGCTTAGTATCTGCTGTACTATCAGGTACGGTTGACAAGGATGGTGTAGGGGGTGCAAGCGGTTGTGAGAGCAAATACAGCTCAGCCCATGCCACATGTGTCTCATCCAGCACCTTCGCCACCTCATCAGGGTCCACAGTGGCCTGCATTGCCACGTCAGGATGGCCTGAGAGCAGCCACGTGTCAATTGCCTCTAGCCAGCCACAGACGCGGTGAAGCACTGCCATGAGCGTGCTCACGTCCAGCTCAAATGCTGCTGACTCAGCGCTGACGTCGGACACCACCAGGCGGTATGAGATGGATAGTGTGAGCGGATTGGGTATGGCGATGACAGCATGCGGCCGCACCTGGCGTGTGGGGGGGAAGGGGAACGGGGGGGTTGAAAAGGGGAGAGGGGAACGGGGGGATTGAAAAGGGGAGAGGGGAACGGGGGGATTGAAAAGGGGAGAGGGGAACGGGGGGATAAAAACGGGGGGGTTGGAGAGGGAGGAAGGGTGGAGGCGGGGGAGATTGGGCATGATGTCAGCCAATAGGGAGGGTCAGGAAGCGACAAAGAATGCCACTGCTTACCTGATAAGCATCCCCAATGGAGTGGAGCGTCGGTGAAATGTCAACTGCGTCAACAGGAAGGAACACGTCAGCATCTGATAGAGAGGATGCTGACGTGGCAGCGGCGGTCTGCGGCAGCACGCCACAATTCCAGGGGAAATCCAGCACTCGTGAATCATCCGCTTCGTCAGACTCTACAGCTGCAGAATCAGAACCAGTGAAGCTGTCGATTTTCCCATTGGCGACAATCTGACCGTCCGTTGGCGAGATCACGAACATGGCATGCCTGCCGGCGGGATTCGTGCAAATCATTCTAAAAGGCTTTACAGAATCGATCTCGGGTTCGGACCCAGGCTGCGAGCTTGGGTTCGAACCCAGGTTCGGGTTCGGGTCCAGATTTGGGTCCAGGTTCGGGTGCTCGTCATCTGATGGATACAGAGGAATGTCGTGCCACGGCGACACCCTGACCCCCTGAAACAGTACTTGTAACGAGGGAGGCGGGGATTCTGGGGTCTCAGTTGGATGTACGTTCCGCTCGTCTTCACCCTCCATCTTAGGGTTTCGATAAAACTGAAACCGTCAGGTTTTCAATCCGACTGACGTGACGTGCTCAGTTTCTAATGTAGTACGAGTCATTGCGAGCCAAAAGGTCTTGGTTTACTCCACGCTCTTCGCGTCGCCATTCATGGTGGGTGACTCTTGTTGACTCAACTCTAATTCGCTCCATGCACCGCCATCCATGGGTGAATCCTGCGTTCCGAGCTTTGAGCCGTCTCTAAACTTGTCGACTCAAAATCCGCCCGTTCCACACCGCGACGACGGCAGGTCGAGTTAACGTAAAGATGCCCTCTGGTTTCGTCACGTCAACCAATATCGACGGAAGCTTCGTCGAGTTGGCCGATGATTCCAGCCAGCTGAGGAGCTTGACGCGCGCGACAGAAACTAGGTGCGTGCGACAGGAACTGGCATGCGACAGGAACCGGGTGCGTGCGACAGGAACTGGCGTGCGACAGGAACTCGGTGCGTGCGACAGGAACTGGCATGCGACAGGAACTCGGTGCGTGCGACAGCATAAGTAGAAAGCGCTGTGTAGCAAAACTTCGAACTCCGGAATTCATTCATCAAACGCCAAAACAGGAACCTGAGCGACACCCAGAAACTTGTTCTCAAGCCGAACTACGGATGCCAGATGCCTCGTGACTACGGTACTAGTTAGGGAAGTAAAATCTGTTGCTTGATTCCGTTACTAGTTAGGGCGTGTCCAGCGCGTACGTTTGATTGCGGTAGGGTGAGGTGCCTCACTGGTCAGAAGGATCGATAACAGATCTAAAAAGGTTGGGTAGGGTTTTCACAAAAAACGTACGCGCTGGACACGGCCTGTCCTCCTGCAGGCCTAGGAGTTGCCTGTCTTGAAGTTTGTCAGGCGGTTTCGTGAGGGCGTGCCCGCATTCGGACGCAACCTTAGGGCAATACTAAGTGTTCGTTTTCGACAATACTACCAAACCGTTTGAAGGAGATATTTGATCCTTCTGAAACGCAATCCACCTTCCTCAACCACATTCGGGCGTACCGCTTAGGAAACGCCCTGAGGACGGGCAAGGTCACGACGAGCCACGGACTCGCAGGGGGCTGTGCGTGAAACGTGCGTGTTGGAACGTGGCCGGGGATGATCGGTCTGCTGGACCTTGGTCGCTCATTGGCGGTCATGATTTTTCAAGTTTGCCCGTGACGGCGGGCATCAACGTCGTAAACAGGTTGGGACATGTGTCCGCTGTAATGTCATAGGTTCTTTGAACATCTAAGAATGCATTTAATAGAAGCAAGAGTCTTTACAAAAAGCTCAATACTTTTACATTCATAAGTGCTCGAACACTTGTTGCGCTCGGGCACCGGAAGGAGCCCTCGATGTGGGAAGGGCATAGGAGCCACTTATGAAAGCAAAAGCAGGAGGCGAAAGTTAAAGCCGTGTTGGCCGCCAGCATGGGGGGGCAGGCTAGCAGTGTGTGCCACTTCGATGACAAAGTGGGTAAGTGAATGGTGAAAGTGCAGAGGTGAGATGAGAATGACAGGAGAGGGGGAAGGAAGTAAAAGAGAGAATGAGAGACAAGAGATGAGGGAAAGTGAGTGTGTGTTGGAAGGAAAGTTGGAGAGTTGGAACGAGGTCGCGAGAGGAGATCCAGAGGTGAATGCCACTGAAATGCAAGCAGCAAGGGCCCGCCTCTGGAACAGCGGCAGCAAGCAGCAACATTCTGTTCCCTCGAGTGCAGAGGCTCCTGGGACCGCAACAGACAAGAAGCACGACAGTGCCCCACACGCACACCCACAGTTGAACCCGCACAGTAGCAGAAGCAGGCGCAGTGGGTCTTCGGGTTTTCAGGAGGGTTCCATGGCCATTCGCCCCTCACGTGAGGCGCAGGCAGGGGGATGGACTGCAGATGCTGGTTGTGACGCGCCTAAGAACAAAAGTCGCCCCTCACAGGGCAAACGTGAGGCGCAGGGGGATGGACGGCAGGTGGGCCTGCAGCACCAGCTGCTCCTGCAGGGCCTCCACGTCAGCACAGTCTATCTGCCCGTTGGCTATCACCGCCGGCAGCAGCACCTGCCCCTGCAGCCGCGACAGCAGCAGCAGCCGCTTCTTCGCCCGCGCCATCCTCAGCAGCATCGCCACCCCTCCCTTATCCGCCGGACTGCCCCCCCTCACACCCACCACATGCACCACGCCCTCCGGGGTTTGCTCCAGAAGTAACCCCCAGTCGGGAGGGCAGGCTGCGTTATTCACCCCGCCGGACGCGAGCACGAGGGTGAGTTCCACCTCGGATTCCGGAACCAGCCAGAGCCGGACGGCGCGCAGGACCGAGATATGATCTCCGCGCTGCTCGTCGTTCGTCTTGACTGTCCACTTGCCGTACTGCGCCATCTTGGCGAGCTTGTCGCCGTCCATGCCGCCCAGGCGCACGGGCAGCACCTCTGTCTGCGCATTCATCAACTCCAGGGCCGCTCCACTGGCCCGCACCGAGGAGAACCAACGCAGGGCACGCTGCAGAGGGGAGAGAAGGGGGAAGGCACGCGAAAGGGGGGAGCAATTAGGAGGAGAACAAGGCGCAACAAGGAACTGGGAGGACCTCCGTCTGTACGTCCAGATTGATTCCAGGGCTGCTCTACTGGTGCGCACTGACTCAATCCAACGCAGGGCATGGTGGAGAGGGGTTGGAAGGCAAGGCGGAGCGGTAGTAACGGGTGTCAGGGAGCAAGGCGTGAGCCAAAGAACAGGGCGGAAGAGGACGAGATGAGGATTAGGCGCCCGAGCGAGAAAACCGGGCCTGCGAGAGTGGGACTTCTAACAGCAGCAATAAAGCTAGCAAGCATCGTCCTCCAACTCTGGTAGACGAAGGCTACAAGAACCAATGAATGAACACTCAGAACACTCGCATTCACTCACGTCAATCGTGTGGTTGACATCAAAGAATCGACGGCTCTCCTTCTTCCCCCCGCTCTCGGCCGGCATGACCAGAATGGTGAACAGTGACGCCGGCCCAGTGCCGCCCAGCCCTTTACTGCTGCCGCCCGAGTCGTCCTTCTCTGCCACCTCAGCGATGCAGTGCCGCCGCACCTTGAGCACGGGGCTGGACGTGGCAGCAGCAGGCGCGGCAGCTGCCCTCCCTGCCCACAGCCTCCCCTGCCTCTCTACTCCCTCAGCTTTAGCAGCAGTTCCGGCAGCGGCGGCGGCAGCAGCAGCAGCAGTTCCGGCAGCGGCGGCGACAGTAGAAGCAGCAGGGCTGCTGGTGCGATGGGTGGGAGAGCTGGGCCTGGTCCTTGACCCCAGGTCACATGCGTCTTCAGGCATCGGCCCAGAATCACACGTGCCACCAGCAGCAGCGCCAGCAGCAGCAGCAGCAGCAGCAGCAGCAGCAACAGCAGCAGCACCAGCAGCACCAGGACCACCACAACCGGCAACAACGCCTTCCGCTCTCTCACCCCAGTACTCATCGCCTCCCACCGCTCCCCTCTCTCCCTCCTCTTCTTCAATACACTCCTCTCCTCCATCCAACCTGTCCCAGCCTTCCCCAGTAAAATATTCCCCAGAGGCCGCCAGTCTAGAGTACAGGTGCGGCAGCACGACCTGCGGCGCACCTGGGACGGCCCGGCGACAGCCGCCCAGCGCTGACGTGGCAATCGTCGCGCCACGTGTCCCGCAGAACATCCTCGCGCTGGCGCTGTCAGCAAAGTTACTCAACTCGTTGTCCACCGCGGGCTCAATTCCGCCGAAAGAAGGATTAGACGACGGTTCCTCTGCATCCCTGGTCGTACAAACACCAACCCTGCTCAACCGCTCATCACCCCTACGGCCGCCGATCTGCACTCCAATAACCCCCTCACGATACCCCTCCGCTGGGTGCGGCGCATGCGCCAGAAGCGGCGCTCTGTCGCCACCCGCCTCCCCCCCCGCGTCTCTTGCACGCGCCCATCCCATCCGCAACCGCGCAATGCCCTCCGCAAGCTTCCCCACAGCTTCCCGCGCCGGCAGTGACCCCTCCGCCTGGTTCCGCCATTCTTCCGCCTCTTCCGCGCCTCCGCATTCCGCCCTTACGTTCACTGCCTGGAGGCGGGTCCAAGCGCCAAGATCCTCCCTCTCCTCCTCCTCCCCTTCCCCCTCCACTGCCCCTCCCGCGAAACAGCAGCCAATCCCCGCCGCTCGATGGGCCCTGACGCTAGCAGGAGGTAGTCTGGAGTATAGGTCGCCGCGCCTATTCCGCTGCTCCTCTTTCTCCACCGGCCGAGGCTTGTGATTGGTCAGCGCTCCGTACGCCTTAATCCGCTCTAGGCGTAGAATGCTCTCCTCCGTCCACGCCGCCAGCGGCGCGAACAGCGCGTGCCGGCCCTCGGACAGAACGACACCTTCTAGAAGGTTCTCGCCGGCGTCGTAGCTGCAATCGGTTCCAAACGTGCCGGCTAGCCGGTAGCTGTCCGTTTCGAAGCTCGCGGTCGCGGCGCAGTCGTAACTGCCGTCATAACTGTCGCCTTCTCGCGCGGTTCCCGCCGCTGAGGCTTCAGCCGCTTCGGCTTCCGCTGCAGCTGCGGGCGTCACTCGAGGCCAAATGTTTAGGCGGCTGAAACAAAGCGCACGCACGCGCAAAGCACAAACAGGAACAAAAGGCGAAAGGCGGAGTGGTGAATTTTGACTTGATTTGAGTCACCTCGAATTTAGATTACCGGGCGATTAAATAAAGGAGTGAGCAAGAACAAGAGGAGAGCAAAGAAAAAGAGGGGGAGGATTGGGAGATGTAAAGAGAGCTGAGGAGAGGGGGGCGAGAACGGAGGGGGGGTGCAGTCGGCGAGGGGGTCTGACTGTGTAAAAGTGCGAAGGGAGGTAAGACGGGAGTAAGACGGCAAGACGTGCCTGCCAATCTACTGGTCAAACAAAATATCAAGACCAAAACCAAGACCAAGAGTCGAAAAAAAAAAAACGATCCCCAACGATCCCCTAGGATATCGAAGACAGAGAGGATAATATAATCTTCTCGGCATAATCAGCAGAGCGATTCAACAGCTTCTTAAGTCCACGTGGTCTTCTTACCTATTCCCGCGATGCACTTGGAGCGGCACGCGATTCTGCTTCTGCTCGTCGCGCAGAGCCCATGAGAGAACCGCCCGTCTGACACCGTTGATCCCGTCCTCGAACGGCGCGTAGGCTGAACGACTCGAGTCCGAGTCGCCTACCCTAAGGATAATATCCCCCGGAAGAAGCGCGTGCGGGTTAGTTAAAGGCCATTGACTGTCCGCGACTCCGACCAGGACTTCGGTACCGGTAATGGGTCTACTGGGCTGTCGAGAATCCATCAGCATTCAACGCTAGTATTAACTTGGTCTTCAGTTTCTAACTGAATCGGGCTCAGGCCAGAAGGATAAAAGATTGCATGCTGGCGAGTCGTCTCAATCTTGAAAAGCCGTGATACTGATAGCTAGTCTTGATCGGAAACCACAACGACGAGGACTATGAGAACTCATCTTAGCCACCGTTGACTTAGTTGCGGAGCCAGGGCACACGACGCTAAACGAGACTACGCTTGGCAGACAATCGGCACTGCGCGTCGTCAATAACCTGTTTGCAGCCAGCTGTACAAGCCGAAAGTCGACGGCAAACAGAAGCAGGCGGTTGATGATGGAGGCAAGGCAAACCTAGGCAAACCTTGGCTCGTCTCGTCACAGTTACACGATTCAGGAGTCAGAACGATCTGCTCCTCATCCCCACTGATGCTTTCCTGCAACTGCCGCCAGCAGCCATGGCACGGTGTGGCACCATCTAGCAACAGAAATCAAGGTGACAGAACCTAGGGGGGGAAAACCTAGGTGGGTTCAGTCAGGTCAGGTCCGCCATGGTCCACTTGGGCGCTAGCGCCAGCTGACAGGGGGATGACGCGGGGAGGGCAATGGGGGAACAGGCGTAGCTTCCGTCGGAAAGTGCGCAGCGGAGTAGACTGGTTTGCAGCTTCCGCTGCTGCGCTGTCGCGGGGGGAACGACCGGGGACGGGGGCTTTGGGTAATCCGCGCAACTGTGACCCGGGGAAGAGGTTCTTCCCCAACCTCCATCTTGCCTAGCCTTGCATTGCATCTGTCTCGCCGACATTTTTCCGAATGGGGCATCGCGCACGTTGAGGTTTCTTTCCCCGGGAGTTTCGTGCGTGCATTTCGTACAAGAGATACAGTACGTACTGGTGTACAGTAAGGTGCTGTGCTGTTGGTGGAGGATCCTCTGGGGATTTCGCGGTGCGTTGATGCTTTTCCGGCTGCCCAAGAATCCAACCTGAGTTGTGGGGGCGCTGGGTGGAACGTCAACCTTGGCGGAATGTCAACCTCGGCAGAATGTTTCCGTTCAACCGCCCTCGGCAACACGACCGCCTCCCACCGCCAGACTTTGGGACGGAGGTGGGCTGGGTTGGAGCGTCGATCTCCTGCCTAAGCCTTGCCTAGATGAATTTCAACCGTCGATCTCAGTCTACTAGTTTCTTGTCAATTTCATCTAGGAGCACATGTGGGCGTGGTGCAGCGCGTGTAGTGATTCGTTACGCGTTATCATTAAGTCTCTCTACAAACACTAGCCTTCGCCGAAGTCTAATTTACAAGTTCATGCGTAATACCACTGATAAAAAGCGTCTTTGCTGCACAGATGTATATGAAGTACATATGTGTATCAGGTTAATAACATACCCACACAAGAAACAGTGAGTAGTGCAAACGAATTCCCGCCCTTAGAGGGTACGTGCCGCGATATCCAGTCTCTGACTCGTCGGCGACTCAAGCAAGACGGCTTTCTGGCAAAACCGTAGATGCTCATTTCATCCCCATGTCCATGCGTGCAAGGATCAATAACCAGGGGACGAAGCCTTCGAGGGTTTCACAGTAGATAAACAAATTCCACATTTCAGGACGGCGTTCGCCAAGTCACCGTCGTGCCAAAGTGAGCCCGGTTTTATCGCGATTCCGTTTCCCCGTGGCTAGTTTCGACAGGATTCGCTGTTACACACAGAAAAAAGGATCCGCGACGCGTGTCAAGCAGCCACGACTTGACAGAGGCGCACACGCGTGTTGTAGTCACACACTCGGTACAGTCACGAGCGACGATGCGGCCGTTGGACGAGAAGGAGACGCAGGCGGTGTTCGAGAAGCTGCACAAGTTCATCGGCAGCAACATCAAACACCTCATCGAACGCAAAGCGCCGGAGGGGCCGGGCGGCGCCACGGGGGGGTACTGCCTTAGACTGCAGAAGCAACGCGTGTACTATGTCAGCGAGGTGGGTGAGGGCTCAGGGTAGGCGGGGGTTACAGGGGGGTACAGGGGGTTACGGGGGGTTACCGGGGTTTACTGCCTACGGCTGCAGAAGCAACGCATGTACTATGTCAAGGAGGTGGGCGAGGGGTTTGGGTAGACGAGGCAGCAGCATCAAACGCCTCGTCAAACGGAAAGCGCCGGAAGGCCCCGGCGGCGACAGGCGTTCGGGCTAGAGAAGCAACACGTGTTGCCAGCGAGGCGGGAGAAACCCCTATGTGGCTAAGTAGGGAAGATGTGATGCCCTCGGCTTTGTAGCGGGTTCGTACATAGCGGGTTTACAGAGGGTATAGATCGGCGCAGGGGAGGAAGAGCGATTATGATGCAGGTTTGTTGAGGGTTTACGGCGGGTTTTGGAGGGGGTTTTTCATGAGCTGCATTGGCTGAGGAGAAACCCCTATAATCAATGTGACGAAGCATCCATGTCGGATGGACTCGCTTTCACCTCTCCCCTCCCCTCCCCTTCTCCCCCCCCCCACCCCACCCCCCCCCCCCCCCTCCCCCTCAACCCCCTTAACCCCCCTCCTTCCCTCCCTCCCTCTCCCTCCCTCCTCTGCGCAGGCCATCATGCGGCGTGCCACCAGTGTGTCGCGGGACCACCTGGCGTCGCTAGGCACGTGCATTGGCAGGGCATTGCTCTTCCTTCCCCATCCCCTTCCCCTTCCCCTTCCCCTTCACCATCCCCTCCCCCATCCCCTTCCCCTTCCGCTTCCCCTTCCCCTTCCCCTTCCCCTTCCCCATCCCCTTCCCCTTCCCCTTCCCCTTCCCCTTCCCCATCCCCTTCCCCTTCCCCTTCCGCTTCCCCTTCCCCTTCCCCATCCCCTTCCCCTTCCCCTTCCCCATCCCCTTCCCATTCCCCTTCCCCTTCCCCTTCCCCATCCCCTTCCCCTTCCCCTTCCGCTTCCCCTTCTCCCCCTTCCCCATGCGCAGGCCATCATGCGGCGTGCTACCAGTGTGTCTAGGGACCACCTGGCGTCACTAGGCACGTGCATCGGCAAGTTCACCAAGTCGGGCAGCTTCCGACTCACTGTCACGGCTCTTGACCTGCTGGCGGCGTACGCCAAGTGCAAGGTGGGTTTCGGGGCTCACTTGGCTTGCCCGGACTACTCAAAGTGCAAGCTGTGCTCTTAGGCACGTGCATCGGCAAGTTTACCAAGTCGCGTTGGGCAGCTTCTGACTCACTGTCGCGGCTCTTGATCTGCTGGCGGCTTACGCCAAGTGCAAGGTGGGTTTGGGGGCCTCATGTGCCTTGACCTCACCACCCAAGATGCAAGCCGGGCGAGTCCATGTGCACCTGAGGCCCGTGCATCTGAGGCCCGTGCATCTGAGGCCCGTGCATCTGAGGCCCGTGCATCTGAGGCCCGTGCATTGGCAAGTTTGCCAGGTCGGGCAGCTTCACGGTGTGTCACTGTCACCGCCCTTGATCTGCTCGCCACGAACAAGTTGAGGGGGTCGGCTTTGGCTTGACTTTGGCTTGAATTTGGCTTGAACCTGGCCTGACTTGGCGCGACCTGGCCTGTTGGTTGCTTACGCAAGATGTCCTTACACCATGGCAACCCCTATTTTGACATGCTTTCGCCTCCCCCTCCCCCCCCTCCCCATTCTTGCCTCCCGCACTCTCCCCATCGCATCCCATCCTTCTCATCGCATCCCATCCTTCTCATCGCATCCCATCCTTCTCATCGCATCCCATTCTTCTCATCGCTGCCTGTCGCTACACCCCCATCCTCCCGTATTCCTTCCCCTCCCCATCCGAGAAAGAGTCGTTGAAACCAGCAGCGGGGATGTCGTTCCTCTGCAGAAGCCACGCACTCAGGAGCAGCAGTCATTTTCTCCGCACCTTCCCATCTCCGTCCTCCTCTCCCCACACCTCCCTCCCTCGCCAGGTGTGGGTGAAGCCAGCAGCGGAGATGTGGTTCCTCTGCGGCAAGGCAACCACCCATCACGCCTTCCCAGTGGTCACCTGCTGTTAGCCTCATCCCCTCTCCACCCCCCCCCCCCCCCCCTCCTCTCGCTCCCCTCCCTCCCTCGCCAGGTGTGGGTGAAGCCAGCAGCGGAGATGTCCTTTCTCTACGGCAACCACGTGCTCAAGAGCGGGCTGGGGAGAATAACAGAGAGCACGCAGCAGAACCAGGTGGGTGGGGTGGAGCTTGGACTAATGCGGGGCTTGGACTAAGGTGGGGCTTGGACTAAGGTGGGGCTCGGACTAAGGCGGGGCTTGGACTAAGGCGGGGCTTGGACTAAGGCGGGGCTTGGACTAAGGTGGGGCTTGGACTAAGGTGGGGCTTGGACTAAGGTGGGGCTTGGACTAAGGTGGGGCTTGGACTAAGGTGGGGCTTGGACTAAGGTGGGGCTTGGACTAAGGTGGGGCTTGGACTAAGGTGGGGCTTGGACTAAGGTGGGGCTTGGACTAAGGTGGGGCTTGGACTAAGGTGGGGCTTGGACTAAGGTGGGGCTTGGACTAAGGTGGGGCTTGGACTAAGGTGGGGCTTGGACTAAGGTGGGGCTTGGACTAAGGTGGGGCTTGGACTAAGGTGGGGCTTGGACTAAGGTGGGGCTTGGACTAAGGTGGGGCTTGGACTAAGGTGGGGCTTGGACTAAGGTGGGGCCTGTGCCTGATCTATCTGACACAGTTGACATGCACCCACCCACCTGCGTTCCCATGCACCCACCCACCTGCATTGACATGCACCCACCCACCTGCGTTGACATGCACCCACCCACCTGCGTTGGCATGCACCCACCCACCTGCATTCCCATGCACCCACCCCCACCTGCGTTCCCATCACTCCTTTCCAGATTCCATGGCGCTCGGCCCCTTGCGCCTCCTGCCCTCACTCTCTCATCTTCACCCTCTCATCTGCCGCAGCCTGCGCGCCTTTCACTTGTCCACTCCTTGTCCTCCCCTCCCAACCCCCCTCCCCCCTCTCCCCGCCCACCAACCTGCTGCTTCCCAACGCAGGGCGTGTTTGCACTCTCTCCATGTGGATGTGCCCTTTGAGTCGACTCATGACTCTAGAGTCCCCTCAAAAGTCCCCTCCCACCCCCCGCCCCCCCCTCTCTCGCCTCTCCCCGCCTACCAACCTGCTGCTTCCCAATGCAGGGCGTGTTTGCACTCTCTCCACGTCGACGTGCCCTTTGAGTCGACTCATGACTCTAGAGTCGGCTCAAAAGTCCCCTCCCACCTCCCCCTCTCTCGCTTCTCCCCGCCTACCAACCTGCTGCTTCCCAATGCAGGGCGTGGTGCCCTGCATGTCCACTCACAACTCCCCTCCCCTTCCACTTCCCTCCACTGCTCACCAACGTGGTACTTGACAATGCAGGGCGTGGTGGTGCTGTCCATGTCGGATGTGCCGCTGGGGTTTGGAGTGGCGGCCAAGTCCACCCAGGAGTGCAGACGGCTAGACCCCAACGCCATTGTGGTGTTTCACCAGGCCGATACAGGTACGGTTGGTACAGCTATGGTTGGTACTGGTATGGTTGGTTTTGGTACGGTTGGTACAGGTATGCTTGGTACAGGTATGGTTGGTACAGGTATGGTTGGTACAGGTATGCTTGGTACAGGTATGCTTGGTACAGGTATGCTTGGTACAGGTATGCTTGGTACAGGTATGCTTGGTACAGGTATGCTTGGTACAGGTATGGTTGGTACAGGTATGGTAGGTACAGGTATGGTTGGTACAGGTATGGTTGGTACAGGTATGGTTGGTACAGGTATGGTTGGTACAGGTATCGTTGGTACAGGTATCGTTGGTACAGGTATCGTTGGTACTGGTACGGCGCATACAGGTACGCCGGAAATAGGTATGGCGGGTACAAGTACGGCGGGTATAGGTACAGCAGATACAGGCATGGTTTATAGTGGAACGGCACATGGTTTTGGCAGACACTGGTAAGCTGATGAGGACAGAGAGAAAGCTATCGATGTATGAGAGGTCACTGAGACGTCTCGAAACGAAGCTATCAATCTGTGAGAGGTCACTGCACTGCTACGCTGCTAGCCCACCACCCCGCCCACCTACGCTGTTTTCCCATGTGAAATTCACGACTCACCACCCCGCCCACCCCACGTCCCACACCCATGTTTTCCCCTCGTACGCAATTGTTGCAGGAGAGTATCTGCGCATGGAGGACGAAATATGACCTGCGGTCCGCACACAATTTTTGAGGTGCCTCAAAAAGAGTACCTCTTCGCATGGAAGACGACATATGACCTGTGGTCCGCAGACAGAGTAGAAAGTTGGAAGCACATGGACGTGGGGTGCGGGGCGCACGTGTGAGCTGGGACAAGGTTGTACTGTATTGCAGTCACATATTGTATTTTCAGAGATGTGCTGTGCTGGGTTATGTGCTGCGTTCTGCACTGCAAACAAGAAATCCTGTATGGGTCACAGCAGCAGAGCTCGCACCTCCTGCAGTTACTGCACCATACCAAGCATGCACTGCACGGATTTAGGATGATCTAAGGGAGGGGAAGACATGGCATGGCATGGCACCATAAAAGAGTGCAGCGGCCAGCGAAAAAAAAGCTTTTAGGGGGTGGAGGTGGAGATTTTTGTGCACCTTCTTTGCAAACAGCAGGTGCAAAATATAGCTACAGTACTTGTGTCAGAGAGGGTTACCATCACACTCCAGAAGCCATGCACTTGATTGCTATCAAGTACCTAGCAAATGATTCTCTTGGTATCAAACCTAACCTGCTCTTTCAGGGTAATCCGAGCCAGGCTGGCTGCTTACACTGCAAATCCCAAAACAGTCTAAGACTACACTACACTCTCATACTAGTAGCAAAGCATTGTGTTACAGCAACACTGACCCTACCACTACCTAATTCATGGCACCAGCACACCACAGGGATAAATCAATACTGGGCAGTTCGATTCGGAGCCGCAGAGCGCCAGTAGGGCTTGAATTGTTCTAGACTAAAGCAGGGCGGTTGGTTCCACCACGTCCAGTCCTGCTTGGTGTGTCATGACCCGCTTGGCTAGGCGTGGCTGGCATGGTTGCATCTTTGAGGACGCCTCAAAGCACCCTGTTATGGTACGGTACTGGGTAATCCCTATTTCCGAGCGCCATAGTAGAGCTCTAGGTAATCCAGAGCAGGGCGGTTCCACGTCCAGTCCTGCTCCATGACCTGCTTCGCCAGGCCCTGCCACCACTCCCTGCCGTCGTACCACCCCGAGATTGCCCTGACGCACGCACAGGTGAGAAGGAAGGGGAAAGGGAAGGAATATAGTGCTGGGGTGAGCCCAGTCCTGCCCTGCTCCATGACCCGCTGCACCAGGCCGTGCCACCACTCCCTCCCGTCATACCACCCCGATGTTTCGCTGATGCATGGGGTGAAGAGGAGCAGGGCAGGGGGAAAGCACGAGTGCAGTTTGGGTCAATGGCTGCACGTGGGGAAACGAGGTGCAGATTGGCAGGGAAATCGGTTCCACATCCATGCCATGCCATGCCATGCCATGCCATGCCACCACCCCCGCCCATCATACCACCCGGAGATTGCCCTGATGCACGGGGTGAGGAGGGATGGGGGACAGGGGTGGAAAAACGAGAGGCCAGGTTCGTATTGGCAAGTCCAGTCCTCCTCCATGCCTCGCTTGGCCAGGCCATGCCACTGCTCCCTCCCGTCGTACCACGCGGATATTGCGCTGATGCTAAGGGAGAGGAGAAGAAACGGAGTGCATATTTCCAACGCGGAGCACAGAAAACGTTCTCAATCCACTCCTGCTCCCTGTGCCGTGGTGCCTTTTGAGTCGACTCAAAAGCCACCTCGTTGCAATGTCTCACAGCACACTTCCAACGAGATGCACCGAGGAGCACAGAAACCGTTCTCACTGCAGTCATGCTCCGTGTCCTGATTGGCCAGGCCCTGATGCGCGGGGTGAATGGTAGACGCTGTGAATGGTAGACGCTGTGAATGGTAGACGCTGTGAATTGTAGACGCTGTGAATTGTAGACGCTGTGAATTGTAGACGCTGTGAATTGTAGACGCTGTGAATTGTAGACGCTGTGAATTGTAGACGCTGTGAATTGTAGACGCTGTGAATTGTAGACGCTGTGAATTGTAGACGCTGTGAATTGTAGACGCTGTGAATTGTAGACGCTGTGAATTGTAGACGCTGTGAATTGTAGACGCTGTGAATTGTAGACGCTGTGAATTGTAGACGCTGTGAATTGTAGACGCTGTGAATTGTAGACGCTGTGAATTGTAGACGCTGTGAATTGTAGACGCTGTGAATTGTAGACGCTGTGAATTGTAGACGCTGTGAATTGTAGACGCTGTGAATTGTAGACGCTGTGAATTGTAGACGCTGTGAATTGTAGACGCTGTGAATTGTAGACGCTGTGAATTGTAGACGCTGTGAATTGTAGACGCTGTGAATTGTAGACGCTGTGAATTGTAGACGCTGTGAATTGTAGACGCTGTGAATTGTAGACGCTGTGAATTGTAGACGCTGTGAATTGTAGACGCTGTGAATTGTAGACGCTGTGAATTGTAGACGCTGTGAATTGTAGACGCTGTGAATTGTAGACGCTGTGAATTGTAGACGCTGTGAATTGTAGACGCTGTGAATTGTAGACGCTGTGAATTGTAGACGCTGTGAATTGTAGACGCTGTGAATTGTAGACGCTGTGAATTGTAGACGCTGTGAATTGTAGACGCTGTGAATTGTAGACGCTGTGAATTGTAGACGCTGTGAATTGTAGACGCTGTGAATTGTAGACGCTGTGAATTGTAGACGCTGTGAATTGTAGACGCTGTGAATTGTAGACGCTGTGAATTGTAGACTAGACGCTGTGAATTGTAGACGCTGTGAATTGTAGACGCTGTGAATTGTAGACGCTGTGAATTGTAGACGCTGTGAATTGTAGACGCTGTGAATTGTAGACGCTGTGAATTGTAGACGCTGTGAATTGTAGACGCTGTGAATTGTAGACGCTGTGAATTGTAGACGCTGTGAATTGTAGACGCTGTGAATTGTAGACGCTGTGAATTGTAGACGCTGTGAATTGTAGACGCTGTGAATTGTAGACGCTGTGAATTGTAGACGCTGTGAATTGTAGACGCTGTGAATTGTAGACGCTGTGAATTGTAGACGCTGTGAATTGTAGACGCTGTGAATTGTAGACGCTGTGAATTGTAGACGCTGTGAATTGGTAGACGCTGTGAATTGTAGACGCTGTGAATTGTAGACGCTGTGAATTGTAGACGCTGTGAATTGTAGACGCTGTGAATTGTAGACGCTGTGAATTGTAGACGCTGTGAATTGTAGACGCTGTGAATTGTAGACGCTGTGAATTGTAGACGCTGTGAATTGTAGACGCTGTGAATTGTAGACGCTGTGAATGTAGACGCTGTGAATTGTAGACGCTGTGAATTGTAGACGCTGTGAATTGTAGACGCTGTGAATTGTAGACGCTGTGAATTGTAGACGCTGTGAATTGTAGACGCTGTGAATTGTAGACGCTGTGAATTGTAGACGCTGTGAATTGTAGACGCTGTGAATTGTAGACGCTGTGAATTGTAGACGCTGTGAATTGTAGACGCTGTGAATTGTAGACGCTGTGAATTGTAGACGCTGTGAATTGTAGACGCTGTGAATTGTAGACGCTGTGAATTGTAGACGCTGTGAATTGTAGACGCTGTGAATTGTAGACGCTGTGAATTGTAGACGCTGTGAATTGTAGACGCTGTGAATTGTAGACGCTGTGAATTGTAGACGCTGTGAATTGTAGACGCTGTGAATTGTAGACGCTGTGAATTGTAGACGCTGTGAATTGTAGACGCTGTGAATTGTAGACGCTGTGAATTGTAGACGCTGTGAATTGTAGACGCTGTGAATTGTAGACGCTGTGAATTGTAGACGCTGTGAATTGTAGACGCTGTGAATTGTAGACGCTGTGAATTGTAGACGCTGTGAATTGTAGACGCTGTGAATTGTAGATGCTGTGAATTGAAGACGCTGTGAATTGTAGACGCTGTGAATTGTAGACGCTGTGAATTGTAGACGCTGTGAACTGCACAGACTGGCGTAAAGGCCGCATAAAAAGAATGAGGTGCATAGTTGCGTAGGGCTACAGCGCACCTGTTCTAAGCATACGAAACTCAACGCCAGCAGCATATGGAAAGAAGGGGGGAGACGGGAGGAGGAAGTAAGGAAGGGGCGAAACGAGGTGCCTATTGGCATGCCCAGTCCTGCTCCATGACCTGCCTCACCAGGACATGGCGAGCAGGACATGGCGAGCAGGACATGGCGAGCAGGACATGGACACGGAGTAACGAGGTGCCTACGAGGTCTCCATGACCTGCCTCGCCCGTGCATGCCACCAACCTCTCCGTTGTACCACCCCGAATTGCCCTCTCACGCACGGGCGAGCATAGGAAGGGACGGGAAACAGTGACGTACGGAGAAGGGAGCACAAGAAGTTGGAGGAGATGGTGGGTGCTCAGTCCACTCCTCACAGGTGGTCTTGTCCACAACTCTCACTTCACCAGGCGCTGCCACCACTCCCTCCCATCACGCTGGCTCAAAAGGTGTTGTTCACGCAAAAGAGCTCTGCTGATGCAATTGGTGAAGAAGACCCTTTGCACGCTGGCTCTCTGCCTCTCACCCTCACAGTTGGTAACAATTCCACTAAGGCCTACCTATTGAGGGCATCGTCGACGCTAGCAGCATCAGCACCGTCACAGGAGAGCCCATTGGGCTCCACCCCCCTGCTCGCCGCTCTCCCCTGCCCGCCTCGCTGTCCCCAACCATCACCGTGCCGGCCAGCCCGCCCGTCCCCTTACCATCGGGAACATTCCTCCAAGAAGCATACTTGATGACGGCTTACCTATTGAGAGCATAATTATTGAGGGCATACCTATTGAGAGCATAGTCGACGCCAGCAGCATCAGCGCCTTCGAAGGAGAATCCGTTGGGCTCCATGCCCCTAGCAGCCGCCCTCTGCCTGTCCGCCTCGCTGTCCACGTCAAGCACCGTGTCGGCCAGCCCACCCGTCTTGCGCACTACTGGGATGGCGCCGTAGCGCATGGCCACCAGCTGGGTCAGACCGCACGGCTCGAAGATGGAGGGGACGAGGATCATGTCGCTGGCAGCATAGATCTGTGCGGATGGGTGGACATGGGGGGAGGGGGAAGAGGAGGAGGGGGTGGTAAGGGGATGTGACTTTTGACTCGACTCAAAAGGAGGGGGAAGAGGGGGGAGGAGGGGGCGGTAAGGGGCGGTAAGGGGCTGTGCACAGCGAGTCCAGCATGGTGTGGTTGAGCCTGCCCGTGCGCTGCACTACTGGGATGGCGCCATAGCGCATGGCCACTGGCTGGGTGAGGCAACACGGCTGGAAGATGGAGGGGACGGGTGTGGGGGAAAGGGATGGGGTGGTAAGGCACTGAGCAGCACGCCACGCCCCACACCTTGTCATTCAGCCCGTGAGCCGCTCAAACGCGCCCTGCTGCACTCTTCAAGCCGGCAGATGCGAGTGTGAGTGTGAGTGTGCGTGCACTCTGCTGCACCCTGCTGCACCCTGCTGCACTGTGCTGCACCCTAGCAGCGTGCAGGGCGCCGAGCGGGTGTGAGAAGCACTGGTTGCGAGTAGCACAGCCATCTGCCCTCCAGCTCCAACACACCACGACTATCAATGCCTGCCACCGCTGCACTCACCACGTGCGATAACGGCTCGCCATACGGCAGCCACAGCCGCGCCATGTCGCCATACGTGCGGCTCAGCTCCCTGGCCAGCCAGCCCCCCAAACTCGCCCGGCACCCGCATGTCTGGCAGACTGGCAACGGCTCCAGCAGCACTGACCGGCAGCAGCAGAGCCTCCCTGCCCCACGCACTCTGCCTAACGCTACCCGTGCTGTGCCACGCGCTCACCACCCCAACAGGCCCGCCCGGGTACTCACCAGGTGCGATAATGGCTCGTCATAAGGCAGCCACAGCCGTGCCGTATCCCCGTACGTCCGGCTCAGCTCCCTGGCCAGCCAGACCTCAAACTCCTCCTGCACCTACCCGCCTTTCTCCAGAGTGCTTGATGAGCGCTATGCCCTTGTGGGAAATCCCCTACTGAGGACTCTGACCATGAGGTTACAAGGCGATGCACTCACCAGATGCGATAGCGGCTCGTCGTATGACAGCCAGAGCCGCGCCATGTCGCCATACGTGCGGCTGAGCTCCCTCGCCAGCCCCTCGAACTCGCCCTGCACCCGCCCGTCCGGGGCCGACCCCAGCAGCACCACCTGCCCGCCGCGCTCAAGCGTGCGCCAGATGGCGTGCTTGATGAGCGCGATGCCCTTCTGCGCCGTGAGGCGCGTCACGATGCCCACCAGCGGGCGCTCCTCCGAGGGGCTGAAGGAGCGCAGGTTGAGGCGGGAGCGCAGCTCAGCCTTGGCTGCTTGCTTGCCCTGAACGACTTGGTGTGAGGAGTACTTGAGCTGCGGGGATGGGGTGGGATGGAGGGAGGGCAAGGGCCAACGAGAGCGATTTTTTAGGCGCCTCAAAAATAGTGGGATGGAGGGAGGGCACGGGCCAACGAGAGCGAGAAGCAGAGCTTGGGACGAAGTGCGGGTAGCGAGGTTGGCAACATGGTGCCATGGTGGACACGAGAGTGCAGCTCAGCTGTTGCTGCCTGCTTGTCAGAGGAGCACTTGAGCTGGGGATGGGGTGGGAGAGAGAGCAGGGTGAAGACAGCGAGGCTGAAGGGGCAGATGGCGGGTTTCATGAGAGCAATGCTGTCTATGTCATATACACTGCCACTGCCGCATGCACTGCATTGTACACCTTCTCCACGCTACTGACTTGAGACGAACAGGCACAATTGCAGATCCCGCATTTCCTTTTCGCCCTACGGTCCCAATTGAAAATCTCGCCGGCTCTTATCATGCTGCATGACTCGCTTTGACCCTGAATTTCGGCTGAACCGGTCAACAATCTGAGCCTGTTGATTGGCCATTCAACCCTCAAACCGCAAAATGCACTGTACAATTTCCTGCTTAATGTCCCTTTTGCCCCAAGCGGTTCGGTGTCAGGTTTTCAGACAGCCCGATTCAAGAAATTTTGGATGCTTGTTTCAGGAAGAAGGTGTATGTCGGCAGCAGCAATGGAGCAAGGCCATTCAGAATGTAGTTAGTAGTAATGCAAAATGCGGGGTGGTGAAAAGGCACATGGCATGGCACGGCATGGCATGGCACGGCATGGCATGGCGCGGCATGGCATGGCACGGCATGGCATGGCATGGCATGGCATGGCACGGCATGGCATGGCATGGCATGGCACGGAATGGCATGGCACGGACTGGCATGGCATGGCACGGAATGGCATGGCATGGCATGGCAAGGCATGGCATGGCATGGCATGGCATGGCATGGCATGGCATGGCATGGAAGGCCAACACGGCACTCACAGGAATGAATGCGTCCCTCATGGGGTCGCACAGGTGCGGGTCGATGCCGTTCAGAATGCCGTGAAGATCACCGCGGAACTTCGCATGGGAAGGAATGGTGCAGCAGCAAGAGGCATGGCAGCACTCACAGGAATGAATGCGTCCCTCATGGGGTCCCACAGGTCCGGGTCGATGCCGTTCAGAATGCCGTGAAGATCACCGCGGAACTTCGCATGGGAAGGAATGGTGCAGCAGCAAGAGGCATGGCAGCACTCACAGGAATGAATGCGTCCCTCATGGGGTCCCACAGGTCCGGGTCGATGCCGTTCAGAATGCCATGAAGATCACCGCGGAACTTCGCATGGGAAGGAATGGTGCAGCAGCAAGAGGCATGGCAGCACTCACAGGAATGAACGCATCCGCCATGGGGTCCCATATGTCCGGGTCGATGCCGTTCAGAATGCCGTGGAACTTGGCCCTGTGTGCCGCCACCGCTGCATGCCCGCTGATCTCCGCAGCGTACGTGGGGGACACCTGAAGGGCAGGGGGGATGAAACGAGCAACGAGGAATGAGAAGGTACTCTGCCATGTGTGCGCCACTGCTGCATGCGCACTTGTATCTGCAGGTAAGACCCCATGTGTGCTGCCACTGCTGCATGCCCGCTTATCTCTGCAGCGTACGTGGGGGACAGCTGGAGCAGGGAAGGAGGGACATGGGGAAACGGAGTTGGATGCCCGCTGCATGCTCCCCTCTTATCTCCTCGCCATGTGTAGGGGAGGAGATAGGTGAGCATGCAACCCTTTTTCTGCTCCCCTCTTATCTCCTCGCCATATGGAGGATCACCTGAGGGGCAGGTGGGAGGAGGGGAGTAAGGCGGAAGAAAAAGGTGCTGCAACTGCTGTGCTGCACCCCCATGCATGGCACAGCGGCTACACTCACTACAGTCACACTCGGTGCAATAAACACCCACTGCACTCACAGTAGCAGCCATATCGCAAGCGGCCATGGCTCTGGCAAATAAGTCTTGGCCGAATTCCAGGTTGTGGACGGTGTACTTTTGAGGCGCCTCAAAAGTCGTCTCTTTATCTGCGGTGTACACTGTGTGTGCATTGCCCGCCCCTACTGCTGCCTCTGATGTTACACCCACTACAGCCACACACTTGACCCAGTCCACTCACCGTGGTAGCCATGTCGCAGGCAGCCATGGCCCGCCCGATCATGTCCTGGCCGAACTCAAGGTTGTGGATGGTGAACACTGTGCGCGCATTGCCCCCGCCATAGCCGCTGTAGTGCTCGCGCTGCAGCCACGCCACCGGCGCTGACGACCAGTCGTGGCAGTGAAGCAGGTCCTGAGGGTTGGGGGGTGTGGGGGGGAGGGTGGGACGGGTTGAATGGAGGGAGGGGGCAGAGCTGGGGTTTCACGGCGAGAACACGCCTCAAGATGGGCCCTGCCGCCGCCATAGCTGCTGCACTGCTCCTGCTGCAGCCATGCCACTGGCGCTGACAGCCTGCCGAGCAGAGCAAGAGGTGCCGAGCAGACGGCACGCCGAGCAGTGCAAGAGCTTCTGACGGGTGGGGGCGAGTGGAGAGAAGGGAGGCGGATTAGAATGAAGGTTGACGATAGGGCTGGGCGCGCACGCCATAGCTGCCGCACGCCATAGCTGCCGCACGCCAAAGCTGCCGCATGCCAAAGCTGCCGCATGCCAAAGCTGCTGTACGCCATCCCAATAGTGGTTGGTTTGATGAACGGTAAACTTGCTGTGCACATTGCACCAGCAGGCAGCAATCAAATGCTTACCGGGGAGCGGCCTGTCTGCAGCAGGAACTCGAGAGCCGCGTGGCAGAAGAAGGCCCTCATGCACACATGCACACATGCACTGCACACATGCACACATGCACAGGAACACACACATACATCACCAGACTGCAATGCAAGGCTTACCGGGGAGCGGCCTGTCTGCAGCAGGAACTCAAGAGCCGCGTGGCAAAAGGTGCTGAATCGGGCAGAATCGTCCTTGCGGCCGTAGATGCACCCCACCCAGAACAACCTGCAGGGGTGAAGGGAAAGGAGGGTGGGGGGTGCACACAGACATAACCAAGTGTCCTTTCAGCCAGAACAACAAAATGAATACAAAAGGAGCCGCTTTGACAGCACGAATGAATACTACTCTTTGGGGCGAAATCAGTGAGATGGAAAATCACCCGCTCTTGGGCTAAAGGAAGTGCACGCCAATCCCCCCCACACGGCTGTATCACACGAGCCACAAGGCCCCAAGGGGAAACCCAGACGAGCAAGCATGAGCTCAACCTCTCTGTGAATCCAAGATGGGAAACAATGACCCACCTGCTCTCCGGCTCCAGCAAGTGCTGTGGAATCCCCTCCTCAAGGCCATACCACACGACCCAAAATGCACAAAGGCGAATCCAGACGAGCAGAAGACGACTTCTCTGGCTCCAGGAAATGCACTCACCCGCTGTCTGGGTCCAAGAAGCGCACGGGGATGCCCCCCCCTCTATCTGAATCCAAAGAGGGGAGATGGGGGCTCACTAGCTCTCTGGCTCGAGGAAGTGCATGGTGATCCCCTCCAAGAGGCCATGCCACACGAGGCACAAGGTGTCGCGGGGAAACCGAGACAAGCAGACACCAGCACCAACTCACCCGTTCTCGGGCTCCAGGAAGTGCACTGGAATGCCCTCCACCAGGCCATGCCACACGAGCCACTTCGTGCCACCCCACTGGAAGTCGCCCCTCGCCTCCAGCCCTTGCACCTGTGGGCAGGGGAAAGGAGGTGGGCGGCACGAGAGCATGGGCACGTGCAACGCGACAGCTTCTGAGAGTTCCCAAAGGATGTCACAATGAAGATTAAATGGGTTCGACCCACAGCAAGCCACAGAGTTCCCAAAGCATGTCACCACCCCTCGCCTCCAGCCCTTGCACCTGCGGTGCGGACAATGTAGGGGCCGGTTGAGGGTGCGCTGAAAAAGTGGCATGAGAGGGATCCGCAGCAGACAGAGCAGGGCAACACCAAGAACACGAGGAGAGGAGGACACAAGAGAGCAGAAAGATAGGGATAAATCAGGCGTCTCTAAATGAGGCGTCTCTAAATCAGGCAATGGGAGAGGAGAGAGCATAAGAGAGAAACGTGAGGAGGCAGGGATGCAGGGTGGGATAGATAGAAAGGGGGAGGTGAGGGTGGAGGAGGGGGGATAGGGATAGGAGAGGGGAGAAGGGGGGGAAGAGCGAGAGGCACGAGAGTGCAAGGGAGGAAGCAGGTATCCCCGCTCCACTCATGCGATAACATTCGAGGCGGTCGTATTTGGGCAGCACAACCATCCTGTCGCCAGATCCCTAGTGGCTCGAGATAGGGATAAATCTAAACCCCAAACCCTACATGGAAAGCCCAAAACTCACCTGATCGTATTTAGGTAGAAACGCTTCACCTTGTGGCCCAGCTCTTTCAAGCCGCACAGATGGTGGTACTAGACCCTGCACCCGAAATCTTACTGGCTACCTTGAACTCTAGACCTCGAACTCTGGACACACTTGCTCATACTTGAGGTTGAGGCAGTCGTTTAGAGGGCTTAAGGTTTCGGGTCTTGAACTCTGAACTCACTTAGACTTATTTGAATCTGAGGCAGTAGTATTTGGGCAGGACCACCTCCACCGTGTGGCCCAGCTCCGTCAAGCCACAGACGCGATGGTACTAGACCCTGCACTGCACCCAAAACCTTTTGAGTCGACTCAAAAGTCAGACGCGATGGTACTAGACCCTGCACTGCACCCAAAACCTTTTGAGTCGACTCAAAAGTCAGACGCGATGGTACTAGACCCTGCACTGCACCCAAAACCTTACCCGACACCTTGAACCCTACACTGACCTGGTCATATTTGAGGCAGTCGTACTTGGGCAGCACCACCTCCACCTTGTGGCCCAGCTCCCTCGTGGCTCGCGACAACGATGTCACCACGTCGCCTAACCCGCCCACCTGGTGGTGGCGGGGTGGGATGGGGGAGGGAAGGACAGGATGGCATGGCATGCGAGCATGGACCGAGAGAGACAGCATGGCAAGTCCCCTTACCCTAGCCGAAGCCTACATAAACCAGCATGTCCCCTGGAAAGTCGTCATCATCACAACGATGCCCCCCCCTCCCTCCCCACACCCCCGCCTTGCTCTCTCACCTTCGCAACTGGCGCCATCTCAAGCGCCACGTGCACGATGTAGAGAGGCGGCTCCCGCACAGTGCCCCCCGCTAGAGGCACATGGTAGTCCAGCCCGCCCCTGTTGTCGTATGTGGCGGTGGAGGGGTCGCTGCTGTCCATGAAGACGAGATCCATGATGTAGGCGTCGTGGGGGAGCAGTACTGTTAGAAGCAAATGCACACAGCGCACAGCACAGCACAGCACAGAGCAAAGGACAGGGAGCAGGTTAAGCAGAACATCAGCATTGATCAGCACTGTGGAGGGGTCGCTGCTGTCCATGAAGACCAGCTCCATGATGCAGGCGTCGTGGGGGCCAGTCACTGTAAGGGAGCAGGGCGCAGGGAGCAGGGAGCAGGGAGCAGGGAGCAGGAACAGAGCACAGAGCACAGAGCACAGAGCACAGAGCACAGAGCACAGAGCACATGACCACAGTGACTCTACTGATTATGCACACTGGACTGGAAACGAGAGGCCGCCGCTGCTGTCCGTCGTCTTGAGGTACAGGCACAGGGGGTGTGTCATGTAGGTACGAGGTACGGGTTCAGGGTTGTGCATCCACAACTGCTCCCGGCCCTCTGCAGGGCTGTGCTAGCACCTGTGTACGACACCCGTACCACCTCTCCCCCTCACCACCACAGCCTCTCCCTTCCCCCCCCCCACACTTCTCCCCCATCTCACTTTCAGCCACAAGATGAGTGCCATTGTCAGCCGGCACCATTTCAATGGGCAGGAAGCACCCCGAGCGGTGCGTCCAGCGGTTGAACGACCCGCGCATCCACACGCGCTCCCGGCCCTGCAGGGCCGTGCTGCTGGGGTTGTAGAACACCTGCACGACCTCGCCCGCCCTGGGCTCTGCCGGCTGTGTGAAGAAGACGTGCGCCTGGGACTGCAGAAACGCCGCCTTGGTGCGCCCCTTCATGGCTGCCTTGACCTCTGCACGCCGCGCTGCCTGTGCGGGTGAGAGGAGACGGGAGAGTGGTAAGGGAAGAGCAACTGTGCTGACCGGGCTGTAGAACACCTCAACGGCCTCGCCCGCCCTCGGCTCTGCTGGCTGTGTGAAGAGCACGTGCGCCTGCGACTGCAGAAAGGCCGCTTTCGTCCGAGCCTTCATGCCTGCCTTGACCTCTGCACGCTGCGCTGCCTGTTGACACATGGGTGTGCATTGTGCAAGGGAGGGGTGAGGGGGGGTGGAAGAGGAGTGAGGCTGCTGGCTGTGCGAACAACACGTGTGCCTGGGACTGCAGAGAGGCTGCCTTGGAATGGGGAGAGAGGAGAGGTATGGCGTGGAGTGGATGGAGGCAGATACGGAGGACCACACTGCACTGCACCATGCCGAGTGGGGTCGGCAGGCAGGCAGGGAGGGAGGGAGGGAGGGCACGCCAAGAGTTGCCTTGGTCTTGGTGGTGCAGCTGGTTGGAGGGGTAATGGGAAGAAAAGGGAACTTCTTTTATGGCATACCACTACACGAGTTTGAGAACATGCATCCCCTTCCTCCCCCCCCCCCGTTCCCACCTCATCACTTTTCCTCTCCTCTCACCTCCTCGGCCTCCTTCGCCTCCCTCTCCTCCCTCGCCCGCGCCAGGCCTCTCAGGCACTCCTCCTCCATGCCAGCGAACAGAGCCTCCATTCTCTCCGCATTTACCACTCTCACCGCACCATCCTGGACTCCTTGCAATCCCCCTTGTACCTCTCACAACCCCGAAATGACTTTTCCTTTCCCCATCCTTTCGCATCCCCCCCTCCCGCCCCTTCTCCTCCCCCCCCTCCAAACAAGAAACCCCCTTTCCTCTCACCTCCTCAGCCTCCTTCGCCTCCCTCTCCTCCCTCGCCCGTTCCAGCCCTCTCAGGCACTCCTCCTCCATGCCAGCGAACAGAGCCTCCATTCTCTCCGCACCGCCAATCCGCCCGGCAAAGTCCCGCCGGTTGTTGTTGTCCCACACCCCCGCTTTGCCCACTGGCCCGTCCGCAAACACCCAGTTGAGCGCCACTGCGTCGGAGGGCAGACTCACTGCAGCAGCCGAATAAGACAAAAAGGGGATTGGCAGGAGACAGGGGGGTTTGGAGAAATGGGGGGAGAAACGGGAAATCTATTACACTTAGCTGAGAGCTATTGCTCTAGTAGAGGATACAGTCACGTCTACAATCTATTAACTTCCAGGGGATTCTATTAAATGCCCGGCATCTACAACGCACCTTCCACAGCCCACCAGTCTCCTCCATCCTCGTTATTGTCACACTTCAGCTCTTCCACAACCGAGACACCGCTCTGCCACCCGTTCACCCCTGCATGCACCCACACCGCCCCCGCCCCTGCCAGCGGCCTGCCAGCCCTGTTGTACTCCAGCCTCACAACCACCCCCCTCTTAACCATCCCTCTCTCAACCCCCACTTCCCCCTCGCTGTCCTCCTCTCCCTCCGCCCCTCCACTCTCTTTCCCCTCCTCTTCTTTCACCTCAATCCGCCACACTCCTTCCTCGCCCACCCCTGCTTGCTCCCAGATCGGCCCAAGCCTCTCCCGAGCCTCATCCGCCACAGCCCGGGCAGTCACCCGTTCCTCCTCCTTCTGAGCTACCAACAGCGCAACCCTCCTCTCCTCCTCCGCCCTCCTCTCCCTCTCTGCCTCCTCCGCCGCCCTCTCCTCCGCCTCCCTCTGCTTGGTCTCATTCAAGAACCGCTCAAACTCGTCCTCCCCTAAGCCTCCTTCCACTGAGATGTAGAAATCCCGCCCCTCGTTGTTCTCATACACGTTATCGCTGCTGTGGAACACGAAATTCATCTGATAGGCTTCCTTCGGTATAGTCACGCTGCACGCCCACCAGTCGTTTGGCACCTCGTTAGAAGGTTTCAGCTCGCACTTGAACGGCTCCCACTGCCACTCGTTAAAAGCACCCACCACAAACACCCCACTCTTCTCCTTTAGCACGCTCGCCGGGCGGTGGAAAAAAATCTCCACGGTTTCACCTGCCCGGACCTGCCCGACCTCGGGGTAGAAGAACATTTTCGCAGCGATGAATTCATGCTCTGCCTGCAGCGCCTGCAGCTTCTCCTGTCGGCTCCTCGCCCGCGTCTCCCTCTCAGCAGCTTCTCTCTCCTTAGCCGCCTCCTCTAATTCTCTCTCCCTCTGTGCCGCTGCTGCTGCTGCTTCTGCATCTGCCTCCGCTGCTGCTGCGGCTGCTGCTGCTGCTGCCTCTGCCTCTGCTGCTGCTGCTGCCTCTGCCTCTGCTGCTGCTGCTGCCTCTGCTGCTTCTGCTGCCTCTGCCTCTGCTGCTGCTGCTGCCTCTGCTGCTTCTGCTGCCTCTGCCTCTGTTGCTGCTGCTGCGGCTACTGCTGCTGCTTCTGCTGCATCTGCCTCTGCCTCTGCCTCTGCCCGTGCCTCTGCCTCTGCCTCGGCCCGTGCCCCTGCCTCTGCCTCGGCCCGTGCCCCTGCCTCTGCCCCCTGCAGCTGCTCCTGCCGGCTCCTCTCCTGCACCTCCCTCGCAGCAGCCTCTCTCTCCTGCGCAGCCGCCTCTAGCTCTCTCTCCCTCTGTGCCGCCGCTGCTGCTGCTGCTTCTGTTGCTGCTGCCGCTGCTGCCGCTGCTGCTGCTGCTGCAGCTGCCTCTGCCCTCTGTCTCTCCTCCTCTACCCTCGCAGCGGCAAGTGCTTCCTCTCCCTCCTCGTCTCTATCCTCTGCCTCCTCCCCCACCGCTGCCATCCCCGCCAAGGCCTTAAGCCGCTCTGCCACTCGCCTCTCTTCCTCCTCTAGATCCCAATCCGTGCTGCTGCTGCTGCTGCTGCTGCTGCTGCCACGCGCGCTGCTGCCAAACCTGCTGCTGTAAGCACTGTAGCTGGTATCATCGATAGGGCTGACGTCAGCAATAGTGCTGATATCATCAATGAGGCTGAGATCAGCAACGGGGCTGACGTCTGAAATGAGACTGACATCAAGCACGGTGGAGAGGTCCTCTTCCTCATCTTCCTCCTCTTCCTCTACAGCACCACCACCATCGGTACCCACGAAACCCACGGGGCGGTCCACCACGCGCAGCAGCTTCGCCGCTTCCTCCATCACCCGTTGCGCCTCCTGCTTCACTCCCGCTGCCGCCGCCTCCTCTTCATCCCCAATCAGAACCTCCCGTGCCACGTCACCAACAGACGTGGCAGCTCGTGGGGCAGCGCTGACATCAGCAGCAGAGTCACCCACAGCAACTGGCTCCCCTTCGCCTTCCTCCCTCTCGTCCGCCACGTTCACAACCAACCTCTCCTCCCCTTCGGTCTCCTCCTCCCCCTGCCACACCCCCTCCGGCACCCCTTCCTCCTCCACGTCATCATCCTCCACCATCGAATAAATAATGCCGTCATCCGTCACTGTGATCCGCGCATTTCGGAACTCCTCCGGATCCAGGCCGTCCACGTGGCCGATCCCACGGCTTGCACGGGCTGCTGTGGTTAGCCGGCGAGAAGGACGGGAGGCAGAGGAAGAAGGAGGTCCGGAGGCGGAAGGAGGGGGTGGAGACACCCCCGAAACCCCGTGTGTGTTTCGCTGGAGGGCTCCCGCGCTAACGTTCCTCCTGCTGCTGCTACCGCTGCTGACCCTGCTGCTGCTGCCGCTTATCTTGCTGCTGCTGCTGATCCACGCTGAGCTGACTGGCCGCCGAACCCTAGTACGGGCTCGCACGCCACCGCCATTGCCACTGCCGTTGCCGTTGCGGAGAAGGGAGGTGGGAACGGTGAGCACCCTGGTAGGAGGACTAGCGCGCAGAAGGCTAACGGGTTTCGCTAGCTCCTGCGACATCGCAGGCGAACGGGCGACAGGAGTCGCTCTCGGACCAGACGAGACAATGCGAGGGAAACACGCTCCCTGTACCCGCTATAAGCTCAATGCGGCAGGTGGCAGCATTCACCAAGCTCCCGGTGATAGAGGGTGACAAGACAGGGGAATGAATAAGCTTGCAGCACCCAGCAGGGAGGAGCTGGAAAGGCTGGGAAAAAACCAAAACGAATGAACTGCTGATTCAAAATCAAAGACCAAAACTTAAGGGATTCCCAAGGGAGCTTGCAGTAAGGAGCTTGGCTGGTTGGCAGCTCAGGTTCGGGCAATCTGCGCCAGAGCTGACCGTAGGCTGAGGTGAGCCTCGGTTAGATTTTGAAGCACCGAAGCTGTGGCCTTTGAAAAACTGATGGCCAGTATCACGCTTGATTCCAGCATCTGTGGCCACGAAGCTCTGTGATTTGCACAGACGGACCACGGAGCCGTGCTGATTGGTAAGGGCTCATTCTTGATACGGAAGATTCGTAAGTGACTTGCAGATTGTGACACGATCGTGACATCCGGAAACGGTACATTACTTTTATTTCACCTTAGGAAATAAGGGGTTGCCTTCTAAAAGGGTTTGGTGCTCCCAACAATGCTAATTTACTATCCTGCCTCATGCTGCTCTTTCCCTGAAAAGGAACTGTAATAAGGTATGGCATAGGGTTGAAAACTGTACAGTATATCGTACGGGTCATTAGTTACAATAAGGGCAGGAGTGCACAGCCGTACGAGATGAGCGCTGTAATGTGTAGGCAGAGGGGTATCCTGCCAGCAAGCAAGAGGGAAGGGGAGACCACAGGCTTAGAAATCATCACCTCAGTGGGTGGAGAGGAACAACAATTGGACAAGACAAAGCTGGCTCATACAGAATCCAAGATTGAAACTGGGAGGGCACATGGCATTGACAGTTAGCGAGCAACGGAAAAGGGAGCTCAGAGCAAGGCTTGGGTGGGGAGGGAGGGGGGTTGGGTGGGGAGGGAGGGGAGGGAGGGGCGAGAGAGGGGTGAATGAATGGGATAACATAGTGCGTGCAGCCAAATCGATAGCATCATTCCCCTCGATTTAGTACCTGTCTCCTGCTGACCTAGCTGTCGCGTATCAACCTCCAAGTGTTTCCCTCGTCGCAACTCTCCCACGCTCACGAGCTCGACAGCGATCGGAGTTGCCGCGACGACAGCAGCGACGCTTGGAGCGACGGCGACTGCAGAGGCGTCGCACGGGCGGAATCCGTCCGCGACAGCAGCGAGTGCGAGAGAGCGCCTGGCGACCGCGGTAGCGAGTGGGAGGGATAATCGCTCAGCGAGTGGTAGTGGTTGTCGGATGGTAACCGCGACATGCGACTCGTTGACGGGGCAGCGCGTGCGAGATACGCCGCGTATTGATCTGCTGTCCACGGCTGCAGGGAGCGGACAGCGCGTGGCGGGGGGCGGACGGGAGGGGGAACGAGAGAGGAAAATTGGGGAAGAATGAGGGTGATAGGGGGGGGGGGGAGATGGAATACGGACAAGGAAATCCGATCCCGGACAGCAAAAGATAACGCGTTCTTCGCGAATCTACCGAGCTGCGATAGGAATTCTTCAGCTCGAAGCTGCAAAGGCGATATTGTTATGAGAGCGACTCGACGTGCGGGCGACGCGAAAGGTGTATTGACGAACGGCCACAGTGGTGTCAGGATGCTGCCAGTGGTGTCCTACTCGAGTTGATTCCCTAGCACGGATGCTGCTGCTTCACCAGCGCGCATCCTCACGGCGGAAAGACACGGCGGCCCGGAAAGGACTCCTTCAACGACGCTCGGAACGACGAAACTCCAAACCTCTACGCGGACGTACGGACATTTTTATTTCTCTCCGCGAGCTGAAACGCCGCGTCGGCAACTGACCATGCGTGACGCATCGTCGACTGACCTTGTCTGTCGAGAAAACGAGGTCGCTGCCACCAAACGACGAGCTCCCGTCGAACCCACTGCTCCCGATATAAGACGCTCCGCTAAGCGCACTGTGTGTCGCCTGCGATTTGAAAGCAGGGGGAGCGGGAGCGGCGCTGAGCGGCGAGCAGAGGCTGTCGCCGCACGTGACGAGCACAAGACCCGTGCAGAGCGAGCAGGAACACGTAGCCACGCCCAGCCCTAGGAAGAAGGGACACGCGCCGCCGCCACACACGGAGAACAGTGCCATGCACAGGGGGGTGATCTTAAGAAGGTGGAATCTGTACTACTATGGCGTGAAACGCGGGGATTCGGGAGCGCGATGGAAGATTCGGGTGACAAAAACCCGCGGTGGATGTCGTGCGAAGGGATTCAAAGCACTAGTACCCTACATCGGACGAGAGCTCTAGGCTGAAAGAGATCGCAAATGATGAGGTGACGTCACGGGACTACACGAACTAGTAGTTATTGTTGTAAGCAAGGGTGTTTGAAAAGTGTCTTTCGGCAGAGAATTGGGCCGCGAGGGACGGGAAGACAGCCGTTCTTCTAGGATGTATGAATTATGTCTCTCAAGCAGTAGTCTAGCCTGCTCAGAAGCAAGGTCGTTAGGTTCACGCAACCTGAATCATCCATGCAGTTGAGTTCAGTTTGGATAGTGTACTGTATCTCGGGGCGAGTGACCAGACAGATGGTGGTGGTGGCTCAATCTGGGGGATGCAATTGAAGTGAGGCATGCACGAGGGGAGGTGAGGGGAGGGCGAAGGGGGGGAGAGGGTGGGGTGGTTTGGGGGAGTGAGAAATGGGAGGGGAATCGAAGCAATTCAGGAAGTGTCCATAGTGGAAACCGACATCCAATGACATCCGTTGGAGGTCGTTGGCAGTCGAAGCCGGATGCCGGACTCGACATCCCTCCACATCCGCAGCACCAATTTGGGTACTTTGGGCGCACAGCTGGAAACAAAAGTGCCCGCAAACCCACTCGGCACTGTAGTGGGTGCCCGAACCCTAGGGAACAAGAATCAGGAACTGCACAGAACAAGTTACCTAGTCGCCAATAAGCTTGCGCAAAAATCGCGAACGATTGCCAGCTGGTTTAAGTTGCCTCTGGTGTTGTGTGGGGTGTGCATGAAGCCCAGCTGGCGCGACTTGCGAGGCACGTTTCGCGAATTCGCGAATGCTTTTTGCAGGATGTTGTGGGCTCGCGAGTTTTTGGCGCGTTGCTGTTTTTTTATTGTCTGGCTGGTCGGCCGTTGCATTTTCTAAACATTTTAACCTCCTGCCCGGTTAATCCGCTGCTCGACATCCCTCGACATCCGTGTTTTTGTTTGTTTGTTTGTTTGTTTTGTTTTGTTTTTTGTTTTGTTGTTTTTTGGGTTGCGTAGCAACCCTATAAAATCGGTTTCACATTTTGGAGCATTAATATGAACAGTAAATTTTAAGAATTTAGTTAACTGTTCGATGCAACTCCAAAATATGAATCCGAAATGTCCAAAGTGCTCCATCGCGTCGATAAGTACGGCGGATGGAACAATCAGACCGCATGACACATTTCAACAAATGATTATGAATAATTAAACATTCTGTAGGATTGCAAATGACAGGAAACGAGTGCATATAAGCATTAATAGTGTTGCAGTAGAGATTGATGGGGTGCACGATGACAGCGGAACTGCCCCGAACACGATGACAATCTCTAATTGCAACAACTAGCTAATAAGCAGCACGCTCGGGGCAAACGCAATCCAAACACACCTCGTGCCAGCCACCACATCTCGTCGATACATACAGTGATGGAGTGAACATGCAAGTACGATAGGATTGTGAGTGCTACGAAACGTTTGCATAAATGCGTCAATGCAGCAACAGAGATTGATGGGGTGCGCGATGACAACAGAGTTGCCCCACGCACGATGACAACCTCAAATTGCAACACCTTGCATATAAGCAGCACATCCGAAGCAGACACAATCCACGCCTTATCACATTTGCTGCCACACGCACTATGCACATGGGGACTAGGAGCAGCAGGCACACCCCGAAACAGACAGTATTTATCAAACCCATGCACACCCCTAAAATGCAAACAACAATCAAACAAACACATGCACCATCGCAAATAGCCTAATAGTTGGAGTTCCCAATATCCAAATTAGAGAACAGTGGTAACGCCGTGCAATCGGAAATCTGTCCCCGCAAGATGTTCCAACAAGCAATAGAAATTGGTATTGGAAGATGTTCTTTGTCTTGCGGCTGCAACAGACAGCGCGTGCTGTACGACCTGCACAGTACACCAGTGAATCATAGAAACACAACATACGTTCAAAAGTGGACCACATAATTTGTTTGTATGCACTTATGGTGTTGGATATTCCGTTTGGGGTTTCAGGTTTGGTGCGGAACATGGGATGAAACTCAGAAATATAAAAAAACGAGAGTAGGCAAAACTCACGCCGACCACATTGATTTCTTAAGACAGTAAATAAGACAGCAAACAGCAAGACATTCTATGCCCATACATGCATACAGCCATGCATGCTATGCCCTTACATGCATACAACTAGGTATGCTATGCCCATACACACATGCAGCCAGGCATGCTATGCCCATACACACATACAGTCAAGCATGCCATGCCCATACACACATACAGCCAAGCATGCTATGCCCATACATGCATACAGCCATGCATGCTACGCCTACACATGCATACAATACAACTAGGTATGCTATGCCCATACACATACAGCCCGGCATGGTATGCCCATACACACAAAACAGCCTGGCATGCTATGCCCCTACATGCGTACAGCCAGGCACGTTATTCACATACACGCATACAACTAGGCATGCTATGCCCATACACACATACATCCAGGGATGCTATGCCCGTACATGCATACAGCCATGCATGCTATGCCCATACATGCATACAGCCATGCATGCTATGCCCATACATGCATACAACTAGGTATGCCATGCCTATACACACATACAGTCAGGCATGCTATGCCCATACACACATACAGCTAGGCATCCCATCCAAATACACACATGAAGCCAGGCCTACCATGCCCATACACCCACACAGCCAGGCATGCTATGCCCATATACACATACAGTCAAGCATGCCATGCCCATACACACATACAGCCAAGCATGCTATGCCCATACATGCATACAGCCATGCATGCTACGCCCATACATGCATACAATGCAACTAGGTATGCTATGCCCATACACACATACAGCCAGGCATGCTATGCCCATACATGCATACAGCCAGGCATGCTATGCCCCTACATGCATACAGCCAGGCACGTTATGCCCATACACACATACAGCCAGGCATGCTATGCCCATAAATGCATACATCCATGCATGCTATGCCCATACATGCATACAACTAGGTATGCTTCGCCATACACACATACAGCCAGGCATGCCATGCCCATACACACATACATCCAGGAATGCTATGCCCGTACATGCATACAGCCATGCATGCTAGGCCCATACATGCATACAACCATGCATGCTATGCCCATACATGCATACAACTAGGTATGCTATGCCCATACACACATGCAGCCAGGCATGCTATGCCCATACAATACACATACAGCTAGGCATGCCATCCCCATACACGCATACAGCCAGGCATACCATGTCCATACACACATACAGTCAGGCATGCCATGCCCATACACACACACAGCCAGGCAAGCCATGCCCATACACACACACAGCCTGGCATGCTATGCCCATACATGCGTACAGCCAGGCACGTTATGCACATACACGCATACAACTAGGCATGCTATGCCCATACACACACACAGCCAGGCATGCTATGCCCATACACGCATACAGCAAGGCATTCTATGCCCATACATGCATACAGCCATGCATGTTATGCGCATACATGCATACAATTAGGTATGCTATGTCCATACACACATACAGCCAGGCATGCTATCCCCATACACACATACAGCTAGGCATGCCATCCCCATACACACATACAGCCAGGCATACCATGCCAATACACACACACAGACAGGCATGCTATGCCCATATACACATACAGTCAGGCATGCCATTCCCATACACACACACAGCCAGGCATGCTATGCCCATACACACATACAGCTAGGCATGCCATCCCCATACACACATACAGCCAGGCATACCATGCCCATACACACACACAGCTAGGCATGCTATGCCCATATACACTTACAGTCAGGCATGCCATGCCCATACACACACACACACAGGCATGCTATGCCCATACATGCATACAGCCATACATGCTATGCCCATACATGCATACAACTAGGTATGCCATGGCCATACACACATACAGCCAGGCATGCTATGCCCATACACACATACAACTAGGCATGCCATCCCCATACACACATACAGCCAGGCATACCATGCCTATACACACATACAGCTAGGCATGCTATGCCCATACACACATACAGCCAGGCATGCCATGCCCATACACACACACAGCCTGGCATGCCATGCCCATACACGCGTACAGCCTGGCATGCTGTGCCCATACATGCATACAGCTAGGCACGTTATGCACATACACGCATACAACTAGGCATGCTATGCCCATACACACATACAGCCAGGCATTCTATGTCCATGCATGCATACAGCCATGCATGCTATGCCCATACATGCATACAACTAGGTATGCTATGCCCATACACACATACAGCCAAGCATGCTATGCCCATACATGCATACAGCCATGCATGCTATGCCCATACATGCATACAACTAGGTATGCTTTGCCCATATACACACACAGCCAGGCATGCCATGCCCATACATACATACAGCTAGGCCATCCCCTTACACACATACAGCCAGGCATACCATGCCCATACACACACACAGCCAGGCATGCTATGCCCGTATACAAATACAGTCAGGCATGCCATGCCCGTACACACACACAGCCTGGCATGCCATGCCCATACATGCATACAGCCAGGCACGTTATGCACATACACGCATACAACTAGGCATGCTATGCCCATACACACATACAGCCAGGCACTCTATGCCCATACATGCATACAGCCATGCATGCTATGCCCATACATGCATACAGCCATGCATGCTATGCCCATACACACATACAGCTAGGCATCCCATCCAAATACACACATACAGCCAGGCCTACCATGCCCATACACACACACAGCCAGGCATGCTATGCCCATACACACATACAGTCAAGCATGCCATGCCCATACACACATACAGCCAAGCATGCTATGCCCATACATGCATACAGCCATGCATGCTACGCCTACACATGCATACAATACAACTAGGTATGCTATGCCCATACACATACAGCCCGGCATGGTATGCCCATACACACAAAACAGCCTGGCATGCTATGCCCCTACATGCGTACAGCCAGGCACGTTATTCACATACACGCATACAACTAGGCATGCTATGCCCATACACACATACATCCAGGGATGCTATGCCCGTACATGCATACAGCCATGCATGCTATGCCCATACATGCATACAGCCATGCATGCTATGCCCATACATGCATACAACTAGGTATGCCATGCCTATACACACATACAGTCAGGCATGCTATGCCCATACACACATACAGCTAGGCATCC